AATTCATTTTCAAGTTCCAAATCTTCAAAACATTGATTTTATTGCCTTACAAAGTCTAATCAATTATTTAGAAACTACGGAACTTCTCTAAGACAAACCAAAAGTAAGTTTGGAAGTTGATGAATCTTTCCAAACTCATCTGGTTTAAGGTGATATAATTACTTATGTAGACAATCTTCTTAGCTCTTAATCAACAAATAAAGAATTAATTCGTAGACAAAAAGCTCGCTAAAATTGGCATTAATAATTTATCTTCTTATTATGCATGAATGAGTTCGTATTCTTACAAAAAAGGAATGAAGGAAGTTAGAATGAATAGAATTTTTTAACTTTTTGGATATGTGAAGTATTTTAAGCAGAAACCAATCAAATCCTTCGACAAGTGTTGTCCAAACTTTTTGAGTCACGGCTCACCTTAGGTTTAAGTCGCACACAACATGCGGTTCGTATTATTTCCAAAAAATCTCCTTCGGCACACCAGTGTACCGCGGTCCACAGTTTGAACAACACTGCCTTAAACAAATTGACAAAAACCAGCAACACCATCTGCCTCATTTCCAGCATTAACACACTAAAAAAGCTTTCAAAAAATTTGTCATCAGCATGTGGAGACCAAGCCCAAAACAAAATAAAAATATTTTTTTTATTTATCTCGCATCATCGTAAAAGACACAAAAATTTGGAGCCAGAAAGTCTGTCTCTGATTTTATGGACAAACATGCAATAACAATCGTTTGATACTTTCTAGTCTCAAGATCAAATCTTTTCCTTTGAAGATATTCTTGACAAGTAACACTTTGAGCTATGCCAAAAGGAATCTGTTGTGATGGTGACTTTTCTGATATTTCTTGGATATAAAAAACCCCACATGAAGCCATTGATTCCGTGTTAAATCGATTTTATTGCTACGGATACTTAGAGTGTTATTTTTATGTCCAACAATATGCGTCAAATGCTTTATTGGAATTTCTACTGCTGTTGTGATAAAAGCACTTGAAAACTTTAGGATTTATAGGTATATAAATGATTCGATCATTGTTTGTGGTCTGTGGAGAAGCTTTTGTGTTATATTATGGACATAAATTGTCTAAAATGTAATTGCTTGTATTGTTGCTTACAAAATGGAATTTAATCATAATTTTTGTGGGTTGAGATGGATTTTTATGATTTCAAGTCAGACTGTCTGGGTCACTTGGCAGTTAAACAATAAGAAATTTAGTGATTTTCAATAAAAATCCACTTCCTGTTACCCAAAAATTAATCCACAACAAATTTAATTTACATCTCATTTCAATCAACTTCCATTGCCACACTCTCGACTAATTAAGGCTTCCAACTCAAGTCCCTTTATTCATCTTCATCGAATTAATTTTCAAACACTAATAAAGATTGATTCCACTTTCTTGAATCTTTTTAATAACTTTTTTTTTCGGTCGTCTTCCTTTTCCCTGTCTTCGAGCATTGAATGAAAATTATAAAAAATCATCAAAACCAATTTCCATTAATGAAGACCATCCGAGATTATGTTTATGTTCTATGTAGACCCAATAAAAATTTATAATGAAAGCTTCCATTTTTTCTTTGACGTCAGAAATTCTTTTTCAGTCCATTGAAACTTTTTCGGTGGATGTGGCACGAAAACATCTTAAATTTACAATTTTTCTGTTAAATGTCAAAGGTTAATAAATAAATGTTGGTCGATCCTATGATGATTTTTGGTATTTGGAGCAAATCCTGTGTTTGAAGCAGGCGCATAGCCAGTAGGGGGGATTTCACAAATCCCCCAACGTAACAGAAATTTTTTTATTTTTCTAGGGGTTTTATGGAAAAATCACAAAAATCCACACCCCTCCCCGCCCCCCCCCCCCCCCCTATTAAATTTTTCCATACAAAAAATTTTTTTGTCTTCCCTTTTCAAATTCCTTGCTAGGCCCCTGATTTGAGGATACATCCGAGAAGTTGTGGTATTAATGGGGTCGTTCATAAGTTACGTCTACAAAAGCTTTTTGGAAAAATGTCCTTTCACAGAACAATCATGAAAAGTGGCTTTTAGCATCATATTAAAGATACAGCTATTAAAAATGATACTCTGGTTCACCAAAGCCTCCCTTTTGCAGCCTCCTTTTTGAAGACACATCATTTTCAAAAGTTCAAGTTTATTTCATATCAGTTTTCTTCATATACATTGTGTTTCTCTAGCTCCAGATGAAGCTCAAGAGTCTTTAATGCATATCTAACTTATATTAAACATTCCTCATTCAAAACATTGCTGCACCCCATCTATAAGCCCCCTCATTTGTCAACATCCGCATATTTTTTCATTGAAATTTTCCCATAGTTATTGATGCGCTGTTTGTTTTTATTATCTAAGTACGTAAATCGAGTAGATATGATGAAAATTGACTAATCATTTACTGTTTGCATGCAGATTATAAAATGATTGTTTGACTGCTGACGTCATAATGTTGTTGCTTTAATATGATTGATAAATGTCATTTTAATCATTTTCCCAGGTATGAACATAAGCACATGTTTTCTTGTCTGTACAGATGATTAAATTTTCCTGAGAATTCTGAGAGATTTTCTGATAAACGTTTAACAACGTCATAGCTTGGTATATAAGATGTTTTTGTTATGTCAGGCAATTTTATTGCTGATATTTATGTTAGATAAAGATTCAATTATAAGTAATCCATTGTAGGATTTTTTATATATTTTGGAAATTTTAAGCTGTGTACTAAGAGTACATAAATTATATTTTGATCATTTTTGATCATTTCATTAGTACCGCACCCTTGCTATGTACTGACAAGAACCCGAGTTGTCCAAAGATAGCAATGGCAACTTTATGTATCTCTGAACTTCGTTTGACTTTCAATTGACTGCTAAGTAGAGTGTCATGTATCAGTAATGTAGGAGCTAGCTAGTTTTAACGTGGTTTTTGAAATTTAAACTTTAAAAGATCTAAAATCAATGAATGTCGTGGTTGTTGACTAAATAGTCGATTTCCAAATTCAGCATTCGAAAACCTACATCCAGAGCTTAAAGTGAGACCCTAGCTCACCCTAGATACCCTAGCTCACCCTAGAGACCCTAGTTTCAGAAGGCTTACAATTCATTTTATTAAGTAAAGAGAATTCCCGTCGAGATGAATTTTGACCTCAAATCCCTTTAGTTCCGCCCCAGTAGTTTAAAAACAATATTTTCTTAGGACCTAGCAACAACATTCTCATCCTAAATTGTTAAATAAGCAAGCTTATTTCCTAGAATTATTCACAAGATTTGTTTTATTCTGAAAAGATTTCCATTCCATCTTAATGACTTCAGATTTCAATTTAAACAGAATCTCATTTTCTCGTAAGAGTTTGGGCAGATAAAAATTTCTGTTTTTGTTTATTTTCATGCAAATTAAACGCTTTCCAAGATTTCTTTTCCGTCAGCAAAATGTAAAAAGCTTCTAGGTTGATGTAAGTGATTCTCTGAGGATTTCATCATTCTATTGGTGTTACATATCCAGTCGTATTATTTAAATCCTCCAATAATTCTCATTGTACTCATATTATATGATGCATGACATCAAATTTAACAATAGAAGTGAGATGAATCGATTATAGCAGAAAGGCATTGAGTCACGTCACAATTCTGTTTTTTATAAATTTTATTTTATTATTTAAATGTTAGAGGAAGTTATGCTAGCTGTGATATTGTGCTGTAAATGGAACAAAAGGTTTGAATATTATTTGGTTGTGTTGTGCATGAGTAATGTGGGATGCTTTAATAGCAGTTTGTGGAAATGTTTTGCAAGCTAATTTGGAATATCAACCTAGATTTTAGTAAAACTGCTTATCAACTAGGTTGTAGATCTCTGTCAGCCTCACGCAATCAATTGGACAATATTTGTGAATTAAGAAAAGCTTTTGTCTTACTTCCATTAATGACACAATCTCCTCCACCAAAAAACACTCAATATTCACAATAAACACATTAACAAATCAAACAAACTCAATAATTTCGTCTACCAATTTTAAGATCCTCGTCAAATTGACATGTCCTTAAGAATTAATGACGAAAAAAATCCTCAGTTTTAAAAACTTAAAAGCCATTTAGCTATCGTTTCAAAAAACGATCTGAATTTTTAATGTGTAAATTTTTTATGATTGATTTGGATCCTTGAAAGCTTATCATCGACATAAAGTTCTTAATGTGTTCGCAGAATTGCTATAAAATTTCAAAACACGACATTGAACAGTTTTTTAAGCTTTTATTTCTGTGTGTTTTGTGTGTCGTTATCAGATTACATTTATGTGCTGTTGGGGGCTGTTTGGATGTTTAGGAGTTAAGGGTGAATGGAGAGGGAAGGTTACTGAGCATTAAGCATGTGGTTTAGTGGTTACTCTAGAAGTTGATCACTAGAATCTCAATTCTAACCTAATCTATCTCTAAGTCATAGAGTAATCTTAGGTTTTGCCGCTGAAATATCTCTCTTAGGTAAACTCCTACCATAGTTGATGGATCAAGTCAAAAGGTTTCTTAGAAACAAGCAGAAGCCGCTTAGGAATAACAGCCTTATTCCAGTCAGTTAAAAATGGTCGATTCCCATTTGGAAACTAATTCAATGTGGTTGGATCACAGGCCGTACAGATCAATTGTGATCCATTGCCTCCCTTAGATGGCGTCTGAAGCTGGCTCTATCGCTGGCTCCCGTTTGCCAATTACCCATATCAAATGCAATACTGTCTCTGTCAACAGCTTCTTTCCAAGAGTTCTTGGGACGCCTCAATGTGTATGGATCTAATATGACTAGAGTTTGCTCGAAAAACCGGTCTCCAGAACAACTTAATCATATCTCAGAGATCCTTTAGTTCCCACCACATAATTCTCTACAAAATAACAATTTCCAGTGCTACGTCACATCCAAACAAGCTCCTTATAAGGAAATTAAAAGACATTTGAATTGTGACAAAAATACAATCGTGTATTACTGCTCAACTTATCGTGCTGTCGTGCTGATGTTCTCATATTTATTCCATAAATAAATCTGCCGTTGTTCAATGAAGAAAAGGCTTGAAATTCAATTTCCACAATGATCTTGTTTGACTTCCGTATTTTATATAATACTAGACTATCAGTGCTGTGCATATTCAATATCAATAACGGGAAAAATTTAATTAGAATTGATTGCAGAAAGGCTTTTCAGAGCTCGTATTGAGTGAATAGTTTCGATACATTCCCGTTGCTGATAAATGGGAACTAAATTGCTGATTTAATGGAAAATATCTGCAAAGTAAAAATTGATTTACTTTATTTATGAATCTAATCTTTCTACAAATTTTAATGCAATTACTCACCTACTAGGTACGGTATGAGGTGCAGGCGTGTAAAATCCATAATCAGAACTCGTTGTACGGTACATAACACATTGGGAATCACGTTGAATGCCATAGCCAGAGAAAGCATCTATTGATAAAATTTAAGAGAATAGATTGTACAAATTACATTGTTGAGGGTGCTTTATGTGTGATGAGATCGGTTTTTTGTTGAGGTATGGAAATATTAAATTGCACACTTGTTGGGCTGCTTCAAATTTCATTCAATATCAGGCACTCAGAAATTGTAAAATCATGGAAAAAAATCTCATATTTGCAGCATTATTCACTGAAATTGGAGATTATTTTGTGATGTTGAAGCTATTTGATCGATTAGAATTGAAAATCGGTTTCCAACGCATTTATTCAGATGTGCTTCCTCGCTAAAAAGCGGAAAATAAATTGAACTGCCTACATTTTTGTGGGAGTAACGAGTGGGATGAAATCGGTGATTTTTTTTGAGGTTTAGTTTATTTTTGGATGTGAGGTTAGCAAGGAATTTGAAAAATTATTGAGTTATGGATTTTTGATTTATTTATTAGTAGAACCAGCACATGATGTATTCACTTGAATCGAAAAGAAATGCTGCATTCGAGCGTAATAATCATATCTAACCTAAAAATCGAGCAATTTCGCCTGTGGTCTTTTGAAATAGAAATTCATAAATTCCCCCCAGAGTAAAATTGAGCTTTAAAAGCAAATCAAGTCATTCAAGAAACTCACATATGATAAGATTTTCAACTTGCTCCAATAAACAAGAAAATTTTGCCTCTTGTGTCTTCCTTTGTGAAGCCATAATTTAATATTTTTGAGTCTTTTGTTATTTATAGAATATTAAGTATTATTATCTTGAAATAAATTGAGTTAAGTCCTTAATTAAAATTTATCTTGTTAATATTAATTTGATTTTAAAGTTCCTTCGAATAATTTCAGTCCGTAAAGTTCCTATTCATTTCTATTGAACAAGTTATGCTGAATAAAGATAAGCACGATTGTGTCATGAAGAGTCTCAGGAGCATTCAGCACAATACATGAATAAATGTGTATGTAAAGTATGTCAACAGCTGTATAATGCAAAATATATTCTCGGAAGTCTTTTGGAAGTAAATAATTCCTGTTATGTTATCATCTGTTATTCATATATTGGCATTTTGATGTATGCTTTGGAAAATTGGAGTTGGTAAGGACCGATGTTGATTAATTTTTGGAAGGAAGGGTCAAATTCAAATTTACCCGAGTCTACCCGAGTGATACATAATGTTAAAGGTTATTTGTTGCAGAGTTGCGATCTGTCACAGGTCAACAAAAACAGCCCACCTGTCACAGGCCGTTACCTGTTCACAGGTCAAATTTTTTCGCCTATCACAGGTCTGACCTGTCAAAGGTTCTGCCTGTCACAGGTCGTTACCTGTTCACAGGTCAATTTTTTTCGCCTGTCACAGGTCTGACCTGTCAAAGGTTCTGCCTGTCACAGGTCGTTACCTGTTCACAGGTCAATTTTTTTCGCCTGTCACAGGTCTGACCTGTCAAAGGTTCTGCCTGTCACAGGTCGTTACCTGTTCACAGGTCAATTTTTTTCGCCTGTCACAGGTCTGACCTGTCAAAGGTTCTGCCTGTCACAGGTCGTTACCTGTTCACAGGTCAATTTTTTTCACCTGTCACAGCTCTGACCTGTCGCAGGCCTCACCTGTGACAGGTCGTCACCTGTTGACAGGTAGAAAAAATCTACCTGTCACAGGTTGACCTGTCACCTGTCACCTGTCACCTTTGACTATCGAAATTTTTTTCTTCTAGTGAAGTATAAAGATTTCATACAAAATTCATCAATTTTTTTGCTTCCTCAAGTCACGAGTTCAAATCTCACCGCAAGCAACTTTCTTTTTTTGCATTTTTATGATTTGTTTTTAAACTTTTTTGATAAAATATTAAGTTTTATGACAAAGTTTTCCATTTTCATATTTTATTTCTTCACTTTCTATATTTTAACATGTATTTTAAATTTTTTCCATATATTTTCATACAAATTTAAATTTTTTTGTCATTTTTTATCAATATTTTATACATATTTTATTTTAACAAGTTGAAATCTGATACAAAGGCTCTTTTCCTAGATCTGGATGTTCTTAAATCGTAATCTTGGATTATAATTTATTATATATTTCGACTTTTTGCGGTCTCGAATGACAAAGTCTATACTAGTTTTAATATTTTATGCCATTTTATAATCCAAGATTACGATTTTAGAACATCCAGATCTAGGAAAAGAGCCTTTGTATCAGATTTCAGCTTGTTAAAATAAAATATGTATAAAATATTGATAAAATATGACAAAAAAATTTAAATTTGTATGAAAATATATGGAAAAAATTTAAAATACATGTTAAAATATAGAAAGTGAAGAAATAAAATATGAAAATGGAAAACTTTGTCATAAAACTTAATATTTTATCAAAAAAGTTTAAAAACAAATCATAAAAATGCAAAAAAAGAAAGTTGCTTGCGGTGAGATTTGAACTCGTGACTTGAGGAAGCAAAAAAATTGATGAATTTTGTATGAAATCTTTATACTTCACTAGAAGAAAAAAATTTCGATAGTCAAAGGTGACAGGTGACAGGTGACAGGTCAACCTGTGACAGGTAGATTTTTTCTACCTGTCAACAGGTGACGACCTGTCACAGGTGAGGCCTGCGACAGGTCAGAGCTGTGACAGGTGGAAAAAATTGACCTGTGAACAGGTAACGACCTGTGACAGGCAGAACCTTTGACAGGTCAGACCTGTGACAGGCGAAAAAAATTGACCTGTGAACAGGTAACGACCTGTGACAGGCAGAACCTTTGACAGGTCAGACCTGTGACAGGCGAAAAAAATTGACCTGTGAACAGGTAACGACCTGTGACAGGCAGAACCTTTGACAGGTCAGACCTGTGATAGGCGAAAAAATTTGACCTGTGAACAGGTAACGGCCTGTGACAGGTGATCTTTTGACAGAAACTGTCACCTTTACCTGTGACAGGTACCTGTCGTCGCAACTCTGATTTGTTGTCAACAATTGGACAATTGATCCTAAAAACGCTATGCCAATAGCCAAAATTATCATGAACTGCTCGGGCTTATAAACACAGAATTTTCCAAAATTCTAAACACGATCATAAATTGAGACTCTCATTTTGTGCATCAAACAGACATAATAAACACATTAATGGAATAAAAAGCATTAATTTTCAACAAGATACTTACATGGACACTCAAATCGCTTTGGTAGATTAAGACCTTTATATAAATCCTTTGTATTAACTGTGCAATCAGTGGTTTTGTAATTACAATATTTATCTGTGGTATCATCCATTGTTAGAGTCAGAGATAAGAGCAAATTAATTATTATTTTTGGCGAGATCTATTCCGGATTACAAATCACTAGAGCAAGCAGCCACAGAGCGAATAAATAAAGTGTTTTCCTTCCTTCCTTTATTTATTTTGACTGCGTAAACAACTAATCAATTCATTTTTTATTCACCAATGGTAACAGCCTCGAATATTCGCACTTTTTTCGGAAGGGGTTGTTCATGAATGACGTCAATCGTACGAATTTGAACATCAGTATGGACATTCGTACAGTTAAGCACATCCTCCCTCCCAAAAGTAGGACATCATTTTTCAACGACCCCAAAAAGCATTTGTTGCTCACGATTCCATTTGATCGATAAATGTTGCTATGAGGGTCGATAAGGGATGGAAAATTCGATGATAATATAAATTTATGCAAATTGTGGGGAACCTTTTTTGTTCCATTTATTTTTTAAAATTGTTTTTTATGAAGCCCTTGCAGAAATTTAAGAAGGATAAAGACTGCTCCTTTGTCATTAAAATATTCTTTTTCTTTACGCTACTTAATTTTTTTTCTTTTGAATTTTTAAGATGCTCTACTAATGATGGAATTATTTAAGATTTTAGACTCAAAGAAAACATTATAAACTTGTCTAATTAATGGAGAATAAATTTGAAATTATTGAAGAGAAGGTGCAGCATTAAGGGTTATTCACTTAAGTACCTAGTACTTTATAAAAGACCTGAATTTTGTCTCTGATTCCATCGATTTTCCAACTCTGACTTATGTTTATTGATATGAACTATAAAGGCTATAAAACTATTGTACTGAGAATAGCAGTTTTGTCTAAACTGTGCCTCGATTCTTGGTTATGTAATATAACTGCTGTCATAGTAGCTTCTTGCGTTGTGCCCCGGTTTGCCGTACTAATAATTCAGATACAATTTGAAGCAGTTTGGTGAAAAATTACCAAAAATTTACAAGAATCTCTACCAAATTTTACAGTTGCCTAGTCTAGCTTATCACCAATGCAAACTTGTTCTTAAATAAACAAACCCTCATCCTAACAATTGACACATCTTTCAACAGCAAACTTTAACATAACATTCAATTATACAACATTTTTAATGTTTATTCTTGTCATACTCATCTTTAAGCTCTTTTAAGCTTCTTGTAATGTTTTATTAATTTTCTTTCAAGGAAATTGTCGTTTGTATTTATTTGAATTGTTCACTTTTTAAGTTTGATTTTTAAAATATAATAAAAAGAGAATCAATAGAAATTCTTTTTAAAAAAACACGGGAAATTCCCGGCAATTTAAATAAAATAATTATTTATTTCGATATCAAAAATATAGCGACTTAAATTATATTTTACGGTCTAATAAGGGACTGTTCACTTATTACGTAACGCGAAAAAATGACTTCTTAGACCCCCCCCCCTCGTAACAAAATTTGTATGAAAAAAAAATTTCCTTGTTTGAACCGTAACAAAATCTTAGACCCCCCTCCCCCTAAAAGCGTTACGTAATAAGTGAATGGCCCCTAAGAAAGTTTTGTAAATTTTATTAATTACTATCAAAATCGTTTAAAGCTATTTGTTCATTAATCCAACCAGCAAATTTAGCAACATTTACATAAATACCAGGAACATCCTTTCCTCCACAACCAATACCTACAAAATAAATATTCATTTAAAAATTATTTATAAAATGAAGTTATGTTCTTGCATACCCCAAGCCACAATTCCAGCTTGATAATATTTATCCTCTTCACCAGCAACTGGACATACTAATGGACTTCCACCATCTCCTTTGCATGTATCAATTCCCTCTTCTCCACCAGCACACATAAAGCTATCATGCAATATAAATCTACGACCAAGGCGGGTGTTTCTCATTTTTGTTTGACACTCGTCATGATGAAGAGTTGGAAGTTCAATTTTCTTGAGAATTTTCGGCATACTTGGATGCTCTTTATCATCTTCATCATTACCAAATTTATTCTTTCCCCAACCCGTTGCAAAACATCTTGTCAAGTCTATTGGTTGATCTTGGGATGGCATGCAAATTGTGTCAATAGTTTCTGCAAATTTAACATCTGTGGTAAGGAACAGAAGTGCAATATCATTGTGAACAGCAGGAGCGTAGAATTTTTCATGCATAACAATTTTGTCAACATCATGATCAGCATGTTTGAATAATTCGTAATCCTTTTCTGAATCCCATTCACCAAATCGTACGACAATATCCTCGGGATTTTTGCCTTTTACACAGTGGGCAGCTAGAAGACAAATGGATATGATTTAAGGATTTAATTAAGGATGTTGAACTGTTCAAGTGACTTTTCAATAATTTTTTGTCATTTTGATCAGTTTTAGGCTTTAATTGGATTATGATTTACCTGTCAGAACTACATTTTTGGAGATCAAGCTTCCACCACATTTGTATGATTTTTCAAAAGATTCACTAATTGATTGTTTTTCGAGTAAGGCTGCCATCCATGGAAATTCTGTGAATTAAAGTTTGTTCCATTAGAATGAGGATTTGTAAGGATTTTAGCATGTTCTGTTCTAAAATGGGGTGAGGGTCTACGATTCTAGCTTTAGCGGCATAACATGCCTTAATCAACAAAGAACGAGTCTTACGCTTGACATCGCAAAAGATGTCAATTCAAATAAACTAAACTTGAATAAATGGAAAATTAAAAATTTCCAATAAAACTTTCGCTTTCGGAAATTCCAAATGATAAGGAATAAATCTTTAAAATTCACAAATTAAAGCTAATCTATCAAAAGTAATAAACTTTAGCACAAACCTCCATATTGACTTTCACCTTGAATAGAATCAGTCAAACTTTCAAGTAAAAGTCCTTCGCTATTTCTCTTTCCGCAAACAGGCTCATAAGTTGCATTCCTCTTCACAGTTAAACTTTCCTCCACGGTCTGAGTTATGGAAAAAACTAAGCTTTAAGTCCTGAATTTAAGCTAGCCAATTCAAAAGTTCTTACATGTTGATTGTCTGGCTCACAGCATTCCTCAAAATAATCTGTGCATCCCACCGTACGAGTATCAAAAAGTCCACTTCCATCTGTAATAATTTTTCCATTCTGACACAGATAATAAGGCACACATTCACCTTCCGTATTAATTTTTGTGACACAGCTTTTTACTTCTGTATTGTATTCAAAACTTTGTGCATTGATAGCGATTATCGCATTTAATAATACAAAATAAAAATCCACAATCATTTTAATTTTAAATAATTAATAAATTAATAAGAAACTGTGATACTGATACTGTTCTGCTGGACAGTCTGATTACGATTGAGCTTGTTTACAGTTGTGACTAAATATATAAAGTAATTTCATGGGAAATCCTATATTTTGATAGAATAACATAAGTTGTGAGACTGAGAGCATGAGAGAATTGAGTAAATCGGAATTCCCAAGATCTTTTGTATACAATTCAAAAAATATTGATTATAATGACTTATTTCTTATCATTTTATTATTTTTTTACAATAAGATTCTTATGTTTCAAATGTCAAGTGAGATTATTTTTTGTGCCAAATTAGTTTTGCACTTTACAAATGATTAAGATGGTTGGAAATGTAAGAATCTTAGTGATAACACATGTAATTTACAGAGATCGAAGCCGATTTTTTCGGCTTAACTCAATTTTTGATTTTTTTGATAGAAAAAAGCCATTTCACACCCATTTCAAGTATTTAAATTGAACTTTACATGCTTTACTATGATTCTGTGAAATATTTTTTCAGCATGTAGCTATAGTAAGCTCTGAATTTCAATTTAGCCGATTTTAAGCCGATCGGCTTAAATTTCGGCTTAACATTCTTTAACTTGAAATTCTGAGCTTCCTATAGCTACATGCTGACAAAATATTACACAGAATCATAGTAAAGCATGTAAAGTTCAATTAAAATACTTGAAATGTGAGTTAAATAGCTTTTTTCTATCAAAAAAATCAAAAATTGAGTTAAGCCGAAAAAATCGGCTTCGATCTCTGGTAATTTAAAAGGGAATTCCCACAATTAAAAGTAAAATAATTTTGTTATTCTTTAAACTGAAAGTTTCCAACTGATTAGTTTTTCAAAAGTTTCTAATTTTTTTTTCCGGACAAATTTTCATTAGTGCCCCCTATCTATAGCATCTTCTAGCTAGCCCTTAATAAAAATAACAATGTGTGAAGGGCCAAACCTTTCAGCTGGAGGCACTGCGATTCAAATTAGAATAGAATCTATTGTACCACACCCTTTAGACCTACAGTTTACAGAGGGATCTGAAGCACTTGCTAGCTCTGCACATTGCAATTTCACGAATTCGTCATGATACCAAACTAGCCCTTAGTGTAACCAGTGTTGTCCAAGCTGTCTGCCGTAGATTTTTTTTGGAAATAAAGCGAGCCACATGCTGTGTGTGATTTTGGGTATGGCTTACCCCTAAGGTGTTCCGTGGCTCAAAAAGGTTGGGCATCACAGCCTTAAACTAAATGATCCTTAAACAAAATAATGTCGAACCCAAACCCATCGACTTTTCATATACTTGGAACGTAGGAAATACCTCCCGACTCTCATTGTCACACGAAGTGTCATTAGAATTTACATAAAACAAGTTTATTAGGACTGCAAGCTGTTTCAAGCTTGTTGCAAGAAGACAACTTTATTACTTTTCATTAAAAAAAGGTCAAAAGATTCATTTTGTGAAGATTGAAACTTTATCAATAAAAACTGCAAGGTGTTCTTTTTTGGAAGGACAAAAAAAGTTTTAAGTATCTTCTTCTCATTAAATTTTGATACTTTGTCATTTGTTGGCATCAATTAACTTGATATAAACCAAAACTTACAGATGTATTAAGCGACAATTACGCACTAAACCACTCATCAACCTTCAACTAAACACATTTCATGATTAAAACTAGCAAATTCAATGTCACATAAGTAATAGAAGCAAGAATAGATACTGTATGTGACTCCCAATGGATATTAATCGGAAGCTCTCAACACAATTGCTCATTTCCTTCATTTGTCTGTGTTCATGATGAGCTATGACAACGAAACTTCATCCCCATTCCAAATCATTTAATTACAACACCACATTTTCATTTCAGATCTGATGCTGATAAATCCACATCGTAAAACGGAACTAAAAGTGAAAGTGACATACACTAAGTATAGAAAATGAGAAGAATATTACGATAATAAAGAGCAATCAAGTGTGTCAAAAAATAATATTAATTTAGAATTAGTAACGATGAATTAACGAATATGGAAATAAAAATTTCCGAATGTGAATTATATTCAGTGAAAGTTGGTGACAAATTGCTTAATAAATCGCCTTTAGATACAAATTACAATCAACATTTGTTCACAATAAACAATCGACAAATTGCAAACGATTGCTCTTGACATGAGTGCGAATAAGAGCACGCAGTTAGTCGATGAAAATTCTATTGTAGCCGGAAGTGAAACGCAACATGATAAGACGAATAATGTAACAGATAATAAAGAAGCAGTGGACGTGAAGGAAGTGGAATGTAAAGAAGGTATTTACGATGTTTATAATGAAAACTTGTTGTTTTGAGTTTGAGAGATTCAATCACATGCTGGGTTTGTTTTTGAAGTCATTAAGGAAGCTTTTTGGATAGCTTAATGGCTAATTGTGAATTTGGATTGTAATAAAGGATGAAAATAGATTTGTCAAGCATATCGGATAGATATTGACTAAAAAATGGGGTTTAAAATAGAAATATGGTCGTATTTATGGTAAGTCTTACAAATCAACCTAGTTTAAGCTTACTAAAGTCAGATTTTGAATCTAGAATAATAAAAAACATCAATTTATTAAAACTTTAGTTCAAAACTGACAAAATAATCAATTTTCTAGTTAAAAATTTGAAATCATTGACTTTGGATCAAACTTTTCATTTTTTGACGGATCATCCACGTCGAACTTTTAGTAATTAATAATTCCTTGATTACTTATTAGTTCATAGTTTTATGATCAGTTCCAAGTCCCTTGAACGTGAGCACGTAAGGTTCTGGATGGACGATTGTTCATAATGAAAATCGATTACAAAATTTTTATAATTAACTTCTAAAAACCAAATTACAAACAAATTCCCATGGACATAATAAAATAGACAACACAGCCAGAGATGTTGCTTAACAAACCATAATAACAAAAAAGAAAAGTTTGAACGTAATTACTGAATAATTGAGATGATAAATTTAACATTCTTCGTTTAAAAATATAACAGCATAATTAGCACAGATTTAAGAAAGTAAACGGATATACATAATGGAATGAAGTAACGATATTAGCAAATGAAAGAAAAGTTAAATTAGTTTGTTAAAAACAAGCATCAATTCTTCTTGATTTCATGAAAATATAACTTTGAGAAATGATTAATCCTTACAATGAAAAATTCATGATAACAGCTATGAGCATGATGTTATAGTAAAACTATAATACCTATGAATACTTCTCGATTTCTGATATTTTTATATGCAGATAAAAAAGGGATGGAAGCAATGCAGAGAGAAACTTTATGAAAAATGGAAGAAAAAGTTACAACAATAAAAATTTTATCTCGAGAATTTTTATTTTGTTGATCTTGTTCTTGAATTTTGCTAATTTCGCTCGTCAAACAAATTTGGCTGCTTATCTTTCGAAAGCATGAAATATTTTCTGTAAATATTGAATGTTGTAGACAAAGTTATAAGATGTTTTTATTGGTTTCGTCTAGCTTTAAGCTTTAAGATTTTAAGATTCAATTTGGTGGGTTTTGTAATTTTTTAAACTTAGTAAATCTAAGGTTCTGATCGTTGGACTGATGAGCCTGTAATCTTAGGCCATGGTAGGCACGGAGCAGCTTAGATTTTGAACATGCCTTTGACTGTACACTGCTCTTGATTTAAACTAGAACTTTCACATTTAAGCTTTAAATTTTTATAGACAATAATATGCGAAAACTTTTGTTTGTAAAAAATCTCTAAAAATCTGTTGAAAACTCTCTCATAAAAATTCAAATTTATGCAGAAGACTTTTATGCATTTGGGTTCGCATTGCTTATGCATATAAAAAAGTTTAAAACAAACTTGCAAATTTGAATATTTTGCATAAAAGCTCCCTCAGTTGTTGATGTCATAACCAGCATTAAATAAACTGTGGACACAAAAATACTCAAATTATTATCGTCCTTTAATTAAATCTATCTGTTTCGTTTCGTGCCTAAAGACTGTAGCTGTAAAATCTATTTAGAATTGCTGATTACAAGAACTTTTTAATCATATTTTTGAATATTATTCAGTTTAGATTATGTTAAACCAGTGGTGTCCACCATTTTTTGGTACTACGGCACACTTGGTGGTAAACCATGACCAAAACCGCACACAGCGTGGGATATCCCAAATATTTTCATGGCAACCTAGTGTGCCGCGGGACATGAGTTGGTCATCACTTTGTTAAACAAAAGAGAGAATGCGAAAATTAAAAAAAAAATTAACCTCCAAACTTTATTGCTGTGGACAAAAAAGAGGAAAAAGAACATAAAAGCAAAATTTTCTGTGGCTTCAAAGCTTCAAAACAGCAAGCGAGAGAGAGTGGCAAAAAATTGAGAAAATGAATACATCATGCATAAATATACAGCAACAAGTAGCAGTCAGTAGAATGAGAGTTGAGAAGCCATAAACATGTTGTAGAACTCGTCAAGTGCTCTCGTATTAAAGCATTTTCACTCGACGTGAAACTTATGCGTGCATTTAATTATTAAGATGAATAAGAATTAATTTTGAGGCAGAGTTAGAAATAAGGGGGAAAACAACATGATAAGAGAAGTTTCATGTTAATACAAGTTGATGATTAATAGCTAGTGACCAAGCTAATGGCAAATAATCAATAAAAATCATTGATTCCCAATCAAGAGGAAATCACATGCTGGGAAATATCTTAACAAATTTTTCACCATCATGTTGTTTCCCCCTCAGCTGAGAATCAAGGAATTACATAGATTATTGTCATTAGCAGTTCATCTAGTACCTAATTTAGTTAACAACCATCAATATTTGACGTACTTCCGTAAAACACAGGGTATTGTACAGATAATAAGGAGATACCTAGACCTAATCCCATACATACCAACTCTGTCTGAAACCCCTTTAATTCAGAAAAATTATCTCAAATATATTTCAATTTTCTCTAATCAGCAGAATAACTTATAATCTGTCAAAGCCATGTAGTTTCCGCTCGATGTGATGTCTAATTTATAAATTCATCATCATCAAGACATGCATTGCTCATTCTCTCGAAAAATATTCAAGCTGTTTCCTTCCTTTTCATGAAAATAATCATAATCTTTAGTGCACTTTTGCATAAATAATGCGATTGTAGTCGCTTTGAGATTTCTGCATTTAAGTAGAATGTGGATTTTCCATTCTATGATTCTTTTGTTCGTGATGATAGCTGCACGATTGTGCTATAGTTGGTGATTATCGTTCATCCTGGAAAGGTTTTTGAGCTTTGAGATAATAATCTTTTTGAGATTAGAGTCAATATCTGATTTAAATCGCGATACTTTAGCTTGAAGAGCTTTAAATATGTCAATCATCATCAGATCGTACCAAACATAGCAACCTTAATGACAATAAGTAGGTTGCTACCTTTATAACCATAAGTAGCATCGCTTATACTCTCAAACTCCTTACCTAATTTATTTACCTTTCAGCACCACATAAATTGCGCATAGTTTTTTATCATTAAGGAATAATTTACTCATTCCAATACTTGATGCTTATCTATTCATTTTAATTAAATTCTCATTATTCACTTCCCTCATTTCCATCACTTTTTTATTAATTTTATCTTATCATTCCATGCTTAATTCACAAAACCCAGACGTTGCTGACAATAACATAACGAGTACTGTTGATTCAACTCCAAATATGCCTGATATAGTTCCGCCAAGTGGAAGTCGTATGACTATACCCGAATCATCATCAGATTTTAAAGATTGGCTGGAGGGTATAAAAATGGTTGCACGACTGCCTGGTGGAATGCCAGTTGAATTCCGACGAAAGGTGATTATAAACAATTAAGTTTTTGGATATCCTTTAATTTCTTTTGATTTTTCATTTGCAGCTATGGCTATCATTGGCTGAAAGATATTTGAAAAGACGCGGAGTTGATTGGGAAATTGAAAAAATTAAATGGTTTAGCGATAAATGTAGAGCAGATGATGAAGAATTAGGCATACAAATTGTTAAAGATTTACATCGTACGGGCCATAGTCTTTTGGCTGGTCCATCTGGTGCTTTAAATCAAGCCAAATTAAAGAGGATTTTAATGGGATATACGAGATGGAATCCTGAAGTTGGTTATTGCCAGGTAGTGGACATAAATATTGAATATTTGACGTGCAAACTTACATTTTATTGATTTCAGGGCTTTAACATGTTAGGTGCCATAATATTACAAGTAATGGAAAAGAATGAAGTCGATTCAATAAAAGTGATGATTTTTCTTATTGAAGGACTTTTGCCGTAAGTCTTGCCATTAATCCAATTTATACTAAATACCCAAACTTACCTTTACTTCTCTCATTTCAGAAATGGCTATTTTTGTGGATCACTTATGGGTCTTCAAGTTGATATGGCCGTATTTCGAGAACTGTTAGGAAACAAATTACCAAAATTAGCTAGACACTTACAAAAATTACAATATTCAACTAATGAGCCTTCTGTTGAGCCTCCACTTATTAATGTCTTCACGATGCAATGGTTTCTAACACTTTTTTGTAACTGCATACCAATGATTGCTGTACTGAGGATATGGGATCTCATTATGATTGAGGGGAGTGATGTGCTGTTACGTGCTGCATTGGCGATTTGGAAGATGTTGGAAGAGTGAGTAGCAATTTGATTTAATTATAAAATGAAGATTTGAGGTAATTGGTAGTGAGTCACAGGCTAAGGGAATGGACAAAAGTTGTTTGGAATTGATTTTAAACCCCACAACTCCTTGTTGATCAAAAGCTCATTCTACTAGCTGGTCTATCATTTGCATCCTCGCTGTCGTAGCTTATAGATTAGAAGAATATGGAATATTGTCGAAACAGTGGTCAAGTAGCCAACATACTCTGCTCTAGTGTTGTCTTACTGTCAATCTTGACAGAAAATTAGAATTTTCTGGAAGTTTGATGCAAAAGTTGCACTAGACTACGTCAAGGTCATAATCTAAGAGCACTATTAGGTTCTACCCCTAAAATACACCTAGACCATGCCCATCCAACCTAAGAAACAGATCAAAATCAACTCCTCGCATCATCAGAAACTCTAAAATTCCCACAGCGATTATAATTTTTCAAACTACAGTTCAACTATATTAAAACTTATAGAGAATCGAGTATAAATAATTGGAAGCTTTAATAATAAATGAGAATTTGTCTAATTGCTGTGTAGTTAAACTAAAATTAATTGTTGCCTAATGAAAGGATATTAAACAATAAGTTCTCGGTATTTAAATTTTATTTTCGAATCCAATTGAATCGATAGCTTAATTAATCATTCAATATTGGGAATAAAAGATTTTTCCGAAAAGCTTCTTTTTAAAAGGTGAGGATTACGATCGAATACAAATATTATATCTGCATACAATATTGAAATGGGTCTGTCGTGAATCATTAAAAGTGGAGTCACTGAATCTTAAAATCCTTTATTTTTTCCATTTCTACTTCTTTTTCTAGCCATTCAAGTACGTGTATTACTAATATATGAAAGGTTTCGGTGTGTATTGTCCCAGCGGTGTCAGAATTCACTTAGCCAGCAAAACAATAGCTGGACAGCTCATTTCATTCAATTGCATTTTTTTGCTGTTCTATAAAATTGTAGAATTGCTGAAACATTTGTAATTGGTTTGAAAACTTAAATTTATTGATATCGATACGTCAGTCATTCATTTTTATCCATTGATTCAATTAAGAAGCTACAGTAGCGCTCAAAATGATAAGGACAGCAACATTTTTTTCACATTTTTATTAATTTTGACGCACAGGATTATCTAAATTTGTTGAAATTTGGACCAGTTATACAGTTTTAAATGTCCTTTGATAAAATATATACTAATTGTACTTTAATTAAATATTTTTGAAAGAAACGGTAAAAAATCAAAATGGCTGCCGCTCAAAATGATAAGGACAGTAGATTATGTTAAGATTTTATTATATTAAGTAATATTATGGAACTTTTAAGACTTAAAACATTATGTTTGATGAATATTCTTTAAATAAATTTATAATTCACGCTTCTAGATGTAAGACTTCTTACTTAATTTTAGTGTTTAAAAATATGTGAAAATTTTGTCAATTTATGATAAATTTTCGTACAGAAACTTGTTTATTCTTTAGGTTAACTACCAAAAATTATAGATAATTTGATTATTTATCAATTTATGATCAAACATTTAAATAACTGTTAATTAATGTAAATTTTTTTCAACAATTTTATTTTTCCTTTGCAAAATTTTTGTGAACTAAAGTGGACAATTTGAAAAAAATTGTTAAATATTCGCAAAACAATGCTTAAATTAGTATATTTCTCTTTCATTTTAATTGTTTAATAACATATATCAAGCAATTGAACCGCTTCGAAAGGATAAGTGACAAAGCAATCGTTCTCTTTAAACAACAAGACTTTTTGATATGGCAAAAATGAAAAATGTGTTGAAACCTAAAAAAATATGATTTACATAAGTGAAGTTTTAACATAAAATAACTAAATTTGGCTTTTTTAATCGAATAACACTCTATTTTGTATTCTATGAGTGCTAAATATAACATTTTTACAAAAAAATATTTCTTCATATTTTTTCACCTTGAGAAGCTCATTGAGAACGATTGCTTAGTCGCTTAATCCTTTCGAAGCGCTCAATTGCTTGATATATGTTATTAAACAATTAAAATGAAAGAGAAATATACTAATTTAAGCATTGTTTTGCGAATATTTAACATTTTTTTTCAAATTGTCCACTTTAGTTCACAAAAATTTTGCAAAGGAAAAATAAAATTGTTGAAAAAAATTTACATTAATTAACAGTTATTTAAATGTTTGATCATAAATTGATAAATAATCAAATTATCTATAATTTTTGGTAGTTAACCTAAAGAATAAACAAGTTTCTGTACGACAATTTATCATAAATTGACAAAATTTTCACATATTTTTAAACACTAAAATTAAGTAAGAAGTCTTACATCTAGAAGCGTGAATTATAAATTTATTTAAAGAATATTCATCAAACATAATGTTTTAAGTCTTAAAAGTTCCATAATATTACTTAATATAATAAAATCTTAACATAATCTACTGTCCTTATCATTTTGAGCGGCAGCCATTTTGATTTTTTACCGTTTCTTTCAAAAATATTTAATTAAAGTACAATTAGTATATATTTTATCAAAGGACATTTAAAACTGTATAACTGGTCCAAATTTCAGCAAATTTAGATAATCCTGTGCGTCAAAATTAATAAAAATGTGAAAAAAATGTTGCTGTCCTTATCATTTTGAGCGCTACTGTACAATGTAACAGATAAAGTTACCATTATAGAAAATTCAATGAAAAAAAAAAATTGAACTGAGTGACAGGATTTTTGCAACAATGTTGAGTACAAAAATTGAGTACAGAAGTTGATTTGATTTCTAGACATCTGATAATTTCGACCAAAACCCTGACTACGCCCCTATTCTATCCCAGCACTTTTACATTGAACCTTGAACCTGTGTTTTTGATTCCCATAAATAGCAAAACCACAAAACATCCACAACTTCTACAGCTTTAGAAAATCAACGTCGACAATTTTCCCATGAAATGCATTAGACGCTGGTCATAAACATCTGCTATCCTTTCCGTTGAGCAGAACAAGAATAAGTCAAATAGAAAATGAACAGAATTGAAATATAATCTGCAACAATTTAATGTAATTGAATTTCAAATGAAATAAATTACTGGAAAATTGAATTTTTCATTCTGTAGATTGAATTTACACGACAGTGTCCATAGAGAGACATAACTAGTAATAATGAATAAGATTTTAAGGTTATGTGACTTCTGACTCTGTTTTGAGGTTCATAGAGCGAAGGTTGTCTTTAGTGCGAAGTATATATGATAAGAATATAGCTCGTTGGGGATCCAAACCATTTCTCTGAAGACATTTCTGACTGTAGCCTACAAAGAAAAACTGTGAAGCTTAATTATCAGTTAATATGACTTAAAAAAGGACGAACAAAAACTTCCCATGCCGAGTCTCGAACCGTTGATCGCTGTGTTGGTATATTAATGATTATGTACCGAAGTGTAAAACCATTCCACCACCGAGCCACTTCATCTCATTTAAGATTTATTGCTTTAAGCAAAAGAACTTCAAATTGACTCCAGGCTCCAAAGATTCTTTTAAAGCTCAATGTTTGGGCTTTTTTAAAATGCCTAAATCTAGGATATACCCTGTAGCTAAGCAAGTCAACACCAAAAATATATTTTCAACTAAAATTCATAACTTATTCATATCCCATTGAAGCCTTCATGCCATCATGAATATTCAACAACAATTTCAGACTCTTTGACTCCACATTTCAAATACCTAAAAATACACACCATTTACTCATCCAAAATTACACACAAGAACAAAATTTCTCATTGAATTTCGTGCAAATATTTACTTCTCATCTACTTCTTTTCCATTCCATAACTCTCGTCTTTCATTACCTTTTCCATGTCTCTTCAAATAATAATAATACAGCAGCACAGTTGTGAATAATATCAATAATAATGAGCCAAAAAAAACTTTTTCATTACAGCCGTATACTACGAGAGGTACGCACAGCAGATGATTTTTATTGTAAAATGGAAACATTGTCGGCTGAGTTGTTAGATGAGAATAAGATTGACTCAAATGTTTTGATTCAACTAATAAGTGACCTTGGAGCTATTAAGGACTTACAGAAACTTCGTCAGAAGCATTTATCGTCATTATATCAGGACCAGAAGCAGCTCAAGTAAATAATTCAATTTTTTTATGTTGCAATAAAATAATTTTTCTCCTCAATCGCATTACAGAATGATTTACTCAAAAGTGCAAGGTGAATCGGAGAGACTTGCTGTGGCGAATGCATGGCAAAGTAATAGAACTCGTCGTGGCTCACAACCTCAACCACAGCGTGAGCCATCAGACCGAGAGAAAATAGCATTAGATATAACAATTTTAAAGAAGCAATATGATAAATTAAAGGAACGACAGAAGCAAGCACACATAATACTTACGTCAGCTGTGAGTAAACAGAATTTACAAAAGCATCAGCAACAGCCTCAAAATGTTAATAAACTGCTTGTGGGGAAGCATGCTATTATTTCGAAAGGTAGACGCGGACCGCCTAAAGGTAAGCATTTTATTATCTGATGACTATTATGGGCTGATTTTATCGTACACTGTGACTTAAGGTTGATTAAGGTACTTTGAAATATAACGGTCAAAAAATATTTGAAATTAAGAAAAAGCTGTAAAAATAACAGTCAAAAAATGCACGAAAAAATAACGGTTTGAAAATTTTACGGTCAAAATTACCCCAAGGGGTCGTTCACTTATGACGTCCGATTTTAACGGTCATTTTTCATAAAAGAACAATGGATCTCCAGGAATTTCTATTGTTCTTTTCTTGCTTACCCCCCCCCCCCCCCCTTCCCTCCTCGACGTCATTAGTGAACGGCCCCCAAAATAAACCAACAATTTGTCATTAAATTAACACAAACTCCATCAATGGTCAATAGCAACGAATATCCAAACGACCCTTTAGACATGTCATCATCAATATCAAGGAAAAGGGTTTGATATTCCCATTAAGCTCAATTGAACCGAGTTTCTATAGAAAGAGCTACCTTGTACATTTTACGTCAACTTACTAACATGAGGAAGGTAGAACAAGAATTTGTTGCTGGTTCTCTACAATATCAACAAATGATGGAATTTGTTCAGGAAAAGTTCTGACTTTAATATGAGATTATTGGATCAATTTATTTTAAATTGGTTTTTTAAAAAATTGGATCAATTTGAATGTTTGTGGTTTTTCGATAGCCAGTGGAAATATTTGTGCTCAACTTGGTGTATTTGATTGGATATTAAGCTTTTGAATTTGATTCAATTCATTCCACTGCAAATTTTTTATAAAAATTCGTTTAAATGCAATTCAACTTCATTATTACAGAATAAAAAACATTCTTAACGACTTAATAATGACGCAATTAATTCCCGCAGTAAAAGATAATCAACATTGATTCTTATTCGCTAGCACAGCATGACGTACATGATTAATAATTAGCATTTTCTTTCCTCAATCCTCACGTCTAATAAAAATGAATGCAATGAGATTAAGTCTGAAGCTCCATGGGAATTATGAATAACATGGATGCATCCAGAACAAAGCTTTGTAGCTTCTAATACTCATTAGCTCAAGCAACACAATATCACATGCATCTCAGCATGATTAAGCTTCGTTCTTCATCACCAAAGCTTTTGCTTGACAATTATTAAGAAGCTTCGTCAAAAAAGCATCCCTAACTGCACCCCTGCATTCCCAACATTAAGCAACTGTAGACAACATTTAAAAAGGATACAAAAAATAAACTTTAATGACAAATTATTGCATCTTGTGTAATTAAGTCTGTTAGAATATCATTTCGTGACTTGTTAAATGAGTCATGATACTTCATGTTATCATTTTCATCTACAATTCTCCCTCGTTCGTACAAAACGTTGTAATTGAGCTTAATCGCCTTGGGTCACAAATGTACAACAACATAGCTTGACTAGCTTACTGATAATCCTTCTTCTTTTAATTTCTTTTAAGGTGCAATTCCACCAGCACGTAAAGTTGTAAAGAGTCCAAAAGTACATCAGACGAACAGCATTGGTAATAAAAAGGACGATGATACACAGCCAAGAAAGAAAACAGATGAGATGACGAGGCGAAAGAATAGCTTAACATGGAAGGAAATAAATGCCGAGTCACCTCGTAAGCGAAGCGATTCATCATCATATAGTGAAAATAGTGATACAGAGTCAAGTACGAGTACGAGTTTATGTGATGATGAGAACAACATTCCATCCCTTGACTCGACGCCCGTTAAAAAGAAGCGACATAAAGACGAGAATAATAAAAGTAGTAGTTGTGCCAAAAGTGTTCCGACAGCCACGACATTAAGTGAAATAAAAAGCTGTCCCGAAATTGCACTCGAGTGTGTCGATGATCACATAAAACAGCATAGACTGGTAATCGAGGAGGAGGATGAAACTTTAAGTGATTCAAATCGAAGCCACTCGAAATTTCACCTCGATTTGTCACCTGATATTGAAGGCATTAGTAGTATTAGTCAGCTTTCACCGCTACCCGATATATCAACATATTTTACTGCCATTAGTCCCATAAAAACCCCATGCAATTATTTCGAATTTCCTGATTTTAGTAGTTTTAATATTGGCAGTTCCAATGAGAATGTTAGTGACAAATATGCTGTAAACGAGCAAGGAGTAACGAATGAATTTTTTGAACGTGTTACGTCTTCCAGTGTCTTTAATATGCTCCCATCCCATGTATCATATGACATGTCTTACAATCATTTACCAATACAAATGAGACATTCATATCCATCGGAAAGAGGAATGGAATCGGATTTAAATGAGACATCAAGATCGTTTGATATAGATGAGCAGCAACAACAACAACAACCACAGAGAATGTCAGCGTCTCATTCGCCTCAATCTATGAATGACATTATAAGTAAGGATATGAAATGTCTGAAGCATGTCAATCAAAAGTCATTTTCAATGGAGGAACCGATGGGACAGCAAAGTGATGTTGTGAAATTAAATCGTTCATTCTCAGACGGAACAATCATGGAATGTGATGATTTAGAGAAGATTATAGCTGAAAATTCCAAAATATTAATAAAACTTAAAGCTCTGCCAGACTCGATGGAAAGCCTTAAGATGATTGAGCCAATTTTAGAAGAAATGACAAAGTCATCAAGCAGCTCATCAGTGTGTGAAGAAATAGCCGCAATTGACATCGAAGAGCCGTCAGTAAATGAGGACGGTATCTTTTTGTCCGAGATCAATGATATCGCTAATATCGAGCAACAACTAAAGTCTCGAAACTCCAACTCATGCGCATATTATGACACAACAAAACCTTCCGCAACATTGCCGTTAGTATGCAATGCAACAACACATGATGATGAAAATGTTGTCGTCGTGAGCACATCTCATAGTACATCCGATGACGTCACATTGCAAAATGAAAAATCGATGAATGAAGATAAAAATAGCGATGCGCTGGTAACACAACAAACTTGCAATAATCACAATGCTACTACGAGCGATACCTCATCGTTATTTGCTCAAAAGTCCTTGCCATTGAAAGATGTGAATGAAAAAAGTAGCAGGAGCAGTGAGGAAATTTTATCGCCTAAATTTAATGAAATATCAGCATTAGTTGATAAATTAAAGAAAAAAGTGATGGACAGTGAGACAATTGTGACTGAAAATGAGGTGAAGGACAGTGTGATAAGTGATAATAAGGAAGTGAATGATAATAAAAGTAGTAATGATGTAGAACAAGTAAATACGGAACCAAAATCAATTAATGTTACAATTACAATAAACAAGGACGTCGTCGAGAATAGTAAGAAGGAACTTGACACAAAAAGTCATGACCTTGAAAAAATACCCACCGAGGATAGTTCTGCGGCAGTGCAAAAAATCGATAATATAAATTCAAATTCGGATTTGGTGTTGGCAAAACTTAATACGCAGTTGGAAAAGTGCCAACAGCCAGCCACTAATGATAATAAGAATAATGTCGAGAAAGTCGTTGATGATGTTGTGAATGTCAAGTCGACAGTTACGAATGGCACGAGTGAGAATGTAGTAACGAAACAAGAAACGTCTGTGAAAGTTGTAATGCATCAGCAAACAGCTGTTAATTCTACAGGCATGCAAGAAGCAAGTAAAAAAATTGCGGCCAGACAGGAAACAAGTGAAAGAGTTGAAGTCAGACATGAATCAAGTGAAAGAGTGCCAGCCAGACAGGAAACAAGTGAAAAAGCTTCTGCCAGACAAGAAACAAGTGAAAGAGTTGCATCCAGACAGGAAGCTAGTGAAAGAGTTACAGTTAGACATGAATTAAATGAAAAAGCTGCAGTCAAGGTTGAAGTAGTTCCAGTTAAGCAAGAAGTGACAGAAAAGGATTCAAATAAAATCATTGAAAAGCTCAACAAACAATTGCAAAGGTATGAAGAAAAGCCATCCAAATCCCCATTGGGACATCGCCTTACAAGTGTCGTATCACGTAGTCCATCAAGTGAGCGATCAAACGATTATAAACGTGAGCTCGAAGCTCTTATAAAGGAACGTGAGCTCGAGAAGAGTCAAAAGTACCGAAGTGACTTGAGTCCATCTAAATCAAATCATACGATTTATGATCATGAGCCACGCAATGAAATACGCAGACGTGACATAATTGCATCATTGGAAACGGATCAAAGGATTCGGAGACCATTTAAGTCGAGTCCCTCGAGCAGTCTTTCATCATCACCAAGCAATATATCAAGTACATTATCATCCATACAAAATACAATTAAGTCACTCGATTCCGCATGTCAGCGGTCGGAAATTTATAATTATAAGAAGCTGGATAAGGCAATGGAAAGTATTGAGAAAATGTGCGAAACTGACCGTGAATGGCAATATTATAAACGTATTAAGACTTACGAATCTCCACCGTCATTTAAGATTGATATTGATGATATTTTATCGACGAAATCCCCACGAAATTATCTTACTGATGATATATTGTTGGATTCACCAACCTATAGTCCTCGGTACGAAAGTGAGCCTTCCAAAAAAGCGAAAACACCAGAACTTGATCCAAATTACATTGCGAAATTGCGATGCTTGTCTACCGAGGATTATATTGCTGGCAGGAAGTCGCCATTGAGTTTAAGTCCAAGTCGTGAATCTAAACTTACAACTGATCGTTACTCGCGCATCGATCGCTCACCAACATCACCAATTTTATCATCAATGAGATTCCTTAAGTCACCAACCAGTGACAGAGCTTCAAAGTCTGCAGAAAATTCACCATCTAGGTACGGTGAAGAACCAAGCACGCGTTCACGCTACGCAACGTCCACAAGCTCAACCAATTTGAAAGGAGCTGAAAGCTACACTAATTTGAGCTATAAAGCAACGTCAATGACTGACAAAAGTAGAAAGTATTATGATGAATTTGATTGGGAAAAGACTTCAAACAGCAGCATAAGTAGTAATAGTGTTAATCGACGGAAGTATGACATTTAAAGTGTATTTGGTGGCTACTATTAGATAGAATATGAATTGGCATCAAAAGCAAGCAAATGAAATGCAGGTATGACGTAAATCAATCGTAAAATGGACGAGATGTGAAAAAAATATCAATTTTTAAAAATCGAAATCCAATTTCCTTAAGAAATCTTATTCCTACCTATAAAGAATAACTTTTTCGTCCGTCTCAAATTCTTCTCTCAACAGTCAAATTCTATAGCTTATAAAAATTTATATAAGGCTTTCTTCAAAGGTCACAATTAGAAAACAAAGAATGTAAGAAGAGTCGATTCCATGTTTGGAAATATTTTCTTATTATTGTAGCATAAACTCACTCAAATTCTCTTCCTATTCTTCTCTCTGTGTAAAAAAATTTCAATCGAATTCTTTAGCTTAGATTTTTCGCAAAATAAGACAGAAAATAATATGCTTTGTGGCTAAAGCAGTGGTGTCTTGAGTATATTTTTAAATTGTAAGATGATGTAACGAACAAATCAATTAGATCTAGGAACATTGCTTCTAGTCTGAGAGTGTGGGCAACAGTGAAGCCTGAGAATGGTTTTGGGTGTCAATTTGAAGATTTGTTATATCTTTCTGTACAACAAAGTCACAATCAATAGCAGGGGTGTAGCCAGAAAATTTTTAAGGGGGGGGGCCCATTTTCGAAAATTAAAAAACCGTTATTTTGTATCCTTTAATCTATATTCATTCTTCATAAATTTAAATATTTAATTCATTATTCATACATTAAATTTAATTTTTCGTGCTGATTTTGACATTTCTTTCATTTTTTCCTCTACATTAACTGGTTCTTCTCTATAAATACTTAATAAAACAATTATCAGATTTTCGTAGGGGGGCTAGGGCCTTCATGGCCCCCCCTGGCTACGCCCCTGATCAATAGGTATTAGTGGTGTCTGAGCATACTGAACAGATTGGATATTTGTTACCCTCTTTTGTGAGAACGTGAGTTCAATTCCCACCAGAGAACAGTCTCTCAATCCATTACATAGTGTGTGGTCGATATGACAAAGATTTGCACAATACTCAAATACAAAAACAAAAACATTCTGAAAGATCCACAAAGATGTGGGTGTTCATCGTAGTGAACTGGAATTTAACTACGCAATTGCATTTTCATGACGTCTGATATTGCTACATAGTTTCCAAGGTGATTGTGCAAGCATCACTTTGAAAAATTTGAAGTAAAACTGAGTGCTTTACATACTCGAAACACAAAGTAGGAAAAGGATTTAATTAATCTATAAAGACATAACATAAAGTGTGAATCTATTAAAAACATGGATTCAAAATCGATCCCCTGAATCTATTGGCTAAAGATCTATATCTCAATTGACATATGAGTTTATGTTGTCTAGTTAATAGCTAGACTTACCATCAACCAATAACATACTTTCTGTAAACCTCTTTAAATTTGTTACTAGCTGCATGGGTCTTCAAGCTATTAACTAGACATCATGTCAAATGTTCTCCCGAGCAAAAACAAAATGATTTTTGAATTCTTTTTAAATTCTATTTTCGCTATTCTTTATTTGGTACCACTTATATGCAGATGACATAAAAACATCTGCATCATATGTGTAAAGCTCAGATAGAAATTTCCAAACATCCTTGAAAGATAGAAAACATAAAGTTTGTTTTAAAAATCACAGAAGCTTGTCAGAAACTTTGTCATCAAAAAGTGCATCTTCTCCATATCAATTTCTAGAAAAGTCTTGGACACTTCTGCTGCAGCATAAATCACAAAAATAAATAGAAACATTGTAAGAAAAAATTCTACTTCATGCTATCATTTAATCCTTTTAAATGCTATTGATAAATCAATATGGAAAAAGTTTTGTGGAAAATAAAAATTGTGCAACTTTGCTTAAAACAAAAAAAAACAAGAATGAAGAAAAAATTAAAATCATAGTTTTTGATGTAGTTGCCTGATGTTGAGTACAATTATGCCAGCGGAAAGATTGAAGAAACTGATATAACAAAATATATATATTTACAAAATGTGAAATTTTGGAGCTTTTTATGATGAATTATTGGTTTCATAATTGGAAATGTGAGGGATATAAATAATGAGATAGGATATGAAATTGAAGAAAAAAAGTTCATGACATTTGAGTGCATTTTTAAATGATTTATTGAGGATGTACAGCAATAGGGTGCAGCTATCATGACTTGAAATTTATATCAGTATGGACCCAACATTCTTAAACGGTGTCGCAACCTTTAGCTATGCCAAACTTAATTTAAAACCTCTCTATAGTCCCTAAAGACATCCTAAAACTCTGAAGTATTGTCCAAAAACACTGCATACATCCTAGCAGACGCAAAAACAGATTGATGATGCAAACAAGGTCAACTTTATTTACAATTCATGCAGTATCGTTTCATTGCATGCTATTGATTTGCTTTATGTCATATAACTGACGTGCAATTGAAATTGTATGAATTTTTCATTAGGTTGATGTCGTTAGGGACAATTTGCGTGTGCTGCAGTACAAAATAATTCGATTATGTTATTTTGCTTTGAAAAATATTTTTTCCTGTTCAAAAATTGCTACATTTTAGACTGTTTCACTAAATAAGATGATTCAAAGCTACTAGCTACTTTAATTTGAAATTCCTAGCTCCTTTGATTCAAAGTTTCTAGCTCCTTTGACTTAAAGCTACTAGCAACTTTGATTCAAAGCTACTAGCAACTTTGGTTCAAAGCTACCAGCTCATTTGATTTTAAGCTACTAGTCTAGATAAAATCAAAGTTAAATATGTAAGTTATTAGAAAAATGCGCTCAATTTCGATGAACATAAAACGCCAAGACTATTTTTAAAAACTTATTGAAGAAAAAAAAAAGAATAAAAAAATTCGAAGCTTTTCTGTAAATTTTTGTGTTCGATTCTTGAAATAAATCTTATGTAAGCTCTAAATTTAAAAAAAAACTTAACCCCAAAACTTTAATCTTAAAAATGAATATCAGCTAAGAAGTGTAGATAGTTAAGCCATGATAAACTTATCGATGTTGGTATTTACAATTTAAAAAGATAAACAGAAAACAAATGTGATTGTTAATTAAATAATAAAGAATTTTTTCCAAATAAAATGAGACAAGATTGTGTTTGTTGTTGAAGAGAATTGAATTAACATTAAAGTAAAATAATGAAAATAAAATTTAATTGTAATTATGAAGAAAATTAGTGATTAATAAATAAAGAACGTATATCAAGTACTGATAAGTACGTATTAATGAAAAATAATTTTAACGTTTTTTTTTTATTTTGAAATTTTCAGGTGTTGCTTTGAAAGCTTTTTAGCGGCAAGTTTCATTGTTTCTATCAAAACTATTGATTATGAATGTTTTATAAAGCTTTGCTCGATATTTTGTCAATGTTTTTAAGACTTGACTGCATAATTATATTCGTTTTCATCTAATTCGTGACGTTTTGTTTATTAAAGAAATCAAAAAACCAATTTACCAAAGCTACAAACATAAAACAACGTTTCCTCAGCTTCAGCGTTTGGATTATATTTCAATTGAGTGAGTGTTGAAGGTCGTATTGCGACATACATGTCTTGTAGTAATTTCTGTTGTAATTAATAAATAAGAACAGTGGAATCAAAGTAGTACTAAGTTAATTAATGGTTTATTAAGTCTCTTATAAGTTATAGTCCGAGGTTAAAACTACCGAGTGTAACTTGTTTTAGTAGCGACCTCTATAAGTAAAGTCATACTTCAACACTTCTCCTTGACTTTAATCTTCTCCTTAGTTATTCAACTATGTTAGCTTTTTGCCTAAAATAGTTGATCTTCGTTGGTCCCAATGGTTTCGTCAGTAAATCAGCTACATTGTCTTCAGTCGAACAATAATGCAAAGTCAGTTCTCCCCGTTCATTCATTTCTCTAATGAAATGATATTTTGTATCAATATGCTTTGTTCTGTTGCTGAACTTCTCATTTTCAACTATCTTCATGCAGCTCTGATTGTCGACAAATACATTTGTTGGTTGCTTGATGTCAATGTCTAATTCCTTACAGATACCTTTTATCCATTTCAGTTCTTGACATCCTTCACTTAATGCAATATATTCGGCTTCGGTCGATGAGAGTGATACACATGCTTGTTTGCGACATGCCCATGTAATTGTACCACCATTTAACATAATAATATATCCGCTATTGGATTTCCTATCAATCTTATTCTCCGCCCAATTTGCATCAGTATACATTATTAAGTTCTGCTCTAATGCATTTGAACTTAATCTCAATCTATATTGTCGTGTTCCTTTGAGATAACGTACGACTCGCTTTACTTCAGTTAAGTCAATATCTCTTGGTTTACTCATACGTTGACTTAAGATTGAAACACTTGCAGTGATATCCGGTCTTGTGTTAGTCGATAAATATAATAATTGACCAATTATCTTTTGATATATTTTATTATTGTCCATTAATTTATCACTAGTCAACTTTTCATATCCGGTATCCAATGGAAATCTTGAAATTTTTCCATTAATTAATCCACAGTCCTCAACAATCTTATCTATATAGTTTCTTTGACTCAGCAAAAAATCACCATCATGATTTTGTTCGATTTCCATTCCAAGAAACTGCTTTATATCTCCAAGACATTTCATTTCAAAATTGCTGCCTATTTTTGATGCTATATTATTTATTTCCGTTGAACTGTTACTTGCTATAATTAAATCGTCAACATAAATTAATATATAACAATTCTGATTACCAATTGTCTTCATATATAGACATTTGTCATATCTACTCTGCTTGTAGGTATTAGACATCAATACATTGTGGATTGCTTTATTCCATGATCTTGCTGACTGCTTTAATCCATAAAGTCCTTTCATCAGCTTACATACTTTATTTCCATTAGTATGTCCAGGAGGTTGTTTCATGTAAATCTCTTCATCTAATTTACCATTCAGAAAAGCTGTCTTAATATCATAATGCTTTACATGATATTTTCTCTTTGCTGCAACACTTAACAATGTCCTAAATGTGCTTGGTCTAACAACTGGTGCGAAAACTTCGTCATAATCAGTTCCGTATTTCTGGTTAAAGCCTTGAGCAACTAAACGAGCTTTATACCTTAGAACTTTACCATTTACATCTCGCTTGACTTTAAAAACCCATTTAGATCCAATAGCTTTACGATCCTTAGGTAAGTCAACCAGTTTCCAAGTATTATTCTGATGAATTGCCTTGATTTCATCATCCATTGCTAATTTCCATTGCTTACTATCAACACATTGAATTGCTTCATCATATGTTCTAGGTTCCTTTATATCAGCTTTCTCAACCTTACATACATAATCGTCATATTTTGATGTATTTCCAATATTCTGTCTCGTTGAGCGTCTTATTGTAGCATCTGGATCAATAACATTTTGTGTTAATGATTCACTGATAAAATCTTCATCAAACATGTCTCCATGATCCGTCTCATAAGTGCTTACTTCCGACTCATAATAACTTGATTCATTGTCATCCATGTCTGACACTGTGTTATTATTATCATGCTCAAGATTATTTACATCAACTTCCGGTAAGTCATTCAATTGATCATCATTGTCAATGACTTTTGTCTCATCCGACTCCATATCTATGACGACTGTATCTTCTTTATGTGTTAAATCACTTGTTGATATTTTCTTCCTTGATTCTAACACTTTTACATCTCTTGCTATTGATATTACTTTCGTTTCAGGATTTATCAATCTATAGCCTTTAGATGTCTCATCATATCCCATGAATTTCAATTTTTGTGCTTTTTGATCCAGCTTCCTTCGTTTCACTTTTGGAATCCAAGCGTAACAATCTGCACCAAATTCAAAATATAATTCTAGCTGTGGTAACTCATCATTCCACATCTCTATCGGTGTTTTCCCTGTGGTTCTTGTGATTAATCTATTCTGAATATAATTTGCACATGAAACAGCTTCAGCCCAATACGATTTGTCTAAATTTGCTTCAAACAGCATACTTCTGGCTGCATCCATCAATGTTCTGTTTTTGCGCTCAGCAATTCCATTTTGTTGACTTGAATATGGTACTGTTTGCTGAATTTGAATTCCTTCTTGCTTTAAGTAGCTTTGAACTTTCGAATTTACGTACTCCAGTCCATTATCACTTCTGAAAAATTTTGGCTTTCGTCCAAACTTATTCTTCAACATCTCAATAAATTGCACTACATGATTATTCACATCTGATTTTGCCAATAGAAAATACACATGTGAATATCTTGTATATTCATCTATAAATGTCACAAAATATCTTTTTCCACCAATGGAATCTATTTGCATTGGTCCACAAACATCCGATACTATAACATCCAGTCTCTCTTTTGCTGGATTAATGGATTTCTTCGGAAAACTTTCACGAGACATTTTCCCTTTGATACATGCTTCACAGTCATTTTTGCATTTACATTGAACAATCTTCAATCTGTCATTCATTTTCCTGATGTCATTCAAATTGCGATGAGCCAGCTTCAAATGCCATTGATGAATACAATATTTATTTGATTGTTTTGCAAAATTCAACTCAGCCATTCGACACTCATTCAGCATGTAAAGTCCATTTCTCAAACGTCCAATTCTGTACTGCCGATTACCGTCTACTAAAATTACAAGATCCTTATTAAATACTACCTTGTAATTTCTTTCGATGAGTTTATGCACGGATAAAAGTTTTCCTCTTGCTTTAGGAACGTACAGAACGTCGTAAATTGTCACATTGATTTTGACACCATCATCAGCAACAACGATTAAATCAATATTTCCTTTGCCAAGAGCTCTTAAACATTCTCCATTAGCAACTTTTATTTCTTCCTGAACGTCAAAGTTCAAAGAAGTAAAAGCTTCCTTATCGTTGCAAATATGACACGTTGCTCCGGAATCGATACACCAGCCAGTAATGATATCATCATCACTCAAATGTAATGCTACATGATCCTTCATTACTAATCCAGCTTTATGAAAAGACTTCTTGGATCCAAATTTTGTGTTTTTATTTTCACAAAATTTGCTGATGTGTCCTAATTCTCCACATTTAAAACATTTCACAGTTTTTGCTTTGCTTTTTGAATTATTATTGAAACTTCTTGTTACTTTCAATGCTGTCGATGAATCAATTTCAACTTTTGTCTTTCGTCGATCTGCTTCATCCAGCAATTTTGCCTTTATATCGCTGACGGTAAGTTTATCTTCATCTCTCGCCTCTAAAGCTGTAACTAGCATATCATAGTCCTCATTTAGACTTGCAAGAATAATCGCCTTCACGTACTTCTCCTCAAAAACATAGTTCAGATCCTTTAACTCATCAAACCATTCCTGTAAGTTTTGCAAATGCGTCTCCATATCGTGATCATCTTTTTTCAATTCAGCTTTAAATAGCTTTTTTACAAGTCTAGTTTTGCTGCACATTGTGGATCTCTGATGAAACATTTTTAACGCATTCCAAACTTCCTTAGCGGTTTTGTTATTCTTCACATATGTTAATTGGTTGTTATCTACGCACAACGTGATAAAATATCTTGCCTTATTATCCTGCTTTTGCCATTCTGCAGCTTTCTCAGCATCTGTAGGTTTCGCAGCTCCAATAACATCCCAACAATCATTTTGTACTAGCACCATCTCCATTCTAAAGCACCAATGGATGTAATTTTTATTGTTAAGCTTCTCAAAAAATTTCAAAAACTTTTCTGCCATATTGATAGTGTCTGGTTAACCTCACTAAATTTAAATTATACTTTTTATCATTAAAAACACTATTTATCTACTGTACTTCACTTTGCCCGTTTAGCTGGGCCCATAACCTGTTGTAATTAATAAATAAGAACAGTGGAATCAAAGTAGTACTAAGTTAATTAATGGTTTATTAAGTCTCTTATAAGTTATAGTCCGAGGTTAAAACTACCGAGTGTAACTTGTTTTAGTAGCGACCTCTATAAGTAAAGTCATACTTCAACAATTTCTTTCTCAAACATCTTATTCACTACTGTTCAGCGCATACCTCAGTACTCGCTGAGAGTTTGATCATTTAACACATATTTTAAGGAATTATTCTTCACGGAAAAAAATGGAAAATTTCGACGATTTTGAGAAAAAGAGTTATCAGGAAGGAGTTGAAATTAAATATGGATTTGCTGATTATTTTTCATATTTCTCAAAAATGTTTATATTTTTTGTTAAAATTACTTTTGTTATGACACAAGAAATATTTGAAAAAATCTTTTATGGAACGAAAGTAAAAAATATTCACGGGCAATTGGCATTGGTTACAGGTGAGTTTTTTTATAATCAAAAACATCTGAAACAACAAAAAAAAAAATGAATACTTTTGAAATGTGAATAATAATATTCAATAAGGTGGCGCAAATGGTTTAGGACGAGCGACGTCATTCCGTTTAGCACAAGAAGGCTGCAATGTGATCATTGTTGACATAAACGAAGAAGAAGCTATTCGAACAGCAGCAGCAATAAGTGAAAGATATGGCGTAAAAACTAAAGCTTATAAGGTTGACGTATCGAACTTTGACGCGTTTCAAGAGTTAAAACAGAACATCTCAAGGGATTTCGATGGGCAAACTATTGACATATTAATTAATAACGCTGGAATATTGTCGGCAATTTCATTAAACGAAGGTCAACATACTCAAATACAAAAAGTTATTGATGTTAATCTGACGTCACATTTTTGGGTAAGATCAAGAATAAATTTTATAATTCTACAAATGTGCTAATTTAAAATTTCTGCTGATTCATTAATTTTGCTGATGCTTTTATAGAGTGTAAGAACATTCTTGCAAGACATGATTGACAAGAAGAGAGGACACATCGTCGGCATAGCTTCCATGGGAGCAAAGGTATGTATCGAAATCGTTTATGTGACGTAGAATTCCTCAATTATTGCTTTGTAATGCTAATTACTAGTTAACGAGAATTATATCTATTATGCTCTACAAATGGTTAAAGAACAGACACTTCCGGAGCTATTGTTAAAAAATCAGATGAATAATAAATTATGACAGCTTGACGTGATATCGAGTGTGTAATATTAATGTAATAGAACTTGTTAATCAAGCTTTAATGTCATAATAGAGAGCATAATTATTTAATTTTTGGGAATTGCTTAAATTTTAAATTGAGATATTAACATTAAAATTGTGTGAACTTCAGTAAACCTAAGGCTGATTTGATTTGAAGATTAATAATTGAATTATTAGTCAAAATGATTTCCTATTTATACAGAAGCTCTGCAAAATGCAAAAACCGGTTTTTGAGAATTTCCCGAAAATATGTTAATCATTTTTTGTTTGTAAAACTTAAGATTTACGTTTCAAATCAATTTGATTTGCTCAATACCACACTACGATATTAATTAGTGGATAAATTAAAGCCATAATAATTAGTTTATGATACAAATTGAATGAGATATGTGCTCACAGTTCTGATTTACTACTTTGTTTCCATTTATTTGAAGGTGAGTTTCCCACTTGCAATTTCATATTGTGCTACAAAATCTGGGCTTGATGGTTTTTACCGGTAAGTAAACAATATAATGTTTGGGTTTTATTTCATTTAAGGTATGGACAAGATATATTTTAATCCCGTGTCCATGCCTTGATTTTATTCCATTCAATTTAACTTGATTCATAAATTGTTTCTTTTAGAGCACTTCAAGATGAACTCTGTGTCGAAGATCATGATGAGTATATCAAATTGACGTGTGTTTACCCATCATTCATCAATACACGAAAAGAATTAACTGATATTTTGGATCAAATGGAAGGAGTTGGACCTCGAATGTCTCCATCCTATGTGGCAAATGAAATTGTAGAAGCAATCAAAAAGGAGAAAATTAGTTTGGTTCTTCCTCTTTCAGCGTGGCTTTTATTGGTCTCAAAGTAAGTTGATAAAATCTTGCAAAAGTTATTAAATTTAATCATAAACTCTTAATTTTTTTCTAGCTTTTTGACACCCAAAGCAATGAAATTAGCAAAAGTTCAGTGGGTTCCAGTTAAACGGCTTAAGAAGAAGGATTGAAATTTTGATTTTTGATCGATTTCATTTTTTGAACAGCCCTTAAGAGTGTTAACATTTTTGAACTATCTCTCTATATTTGCAATGTTTTATGATTTCTAACTTAAATTGGTGATACTAAGTATACGGGTGCTAATTTATTTAATACTTTTATTTTAAAAAATTTTTGACTCAAAAACCCTGCCCTACAATTTAAACTTTTTGAAGTTTCTTAAAAAATTAAAATTTCTAATTTTATATGAAAGAATCACTCAACTCTAAGCAATATTGTTCTATGTAATGTTGTAAAGTGTAATAAAAAAATTATGTTTTCATGCTCATTGAAGCTTGTAAAAATGTTATACTTAAGCTTTATTCATTACAGAAATGGGCAATTCTCTGTACGGGAAATCAAAAATTTTCAACTTAAAATTGTTTTTTTGACCGATTTTTCTACTAAAAGATGTTAGGTTTTCAGGTCTTCTGATGTATTTTTCCATTATCTATCTGTTTAATTATTGGAACAATCATTAATTAGCTTAATTCTAGAGATATTTTGATTCTTCGATGAAATGCTCCGTGACCGAAAATGGAATTTTACAAAAAATTCAATAGGGGAATCAATATTTATCCAACAAATTCTTATGTTTGCATCATGAATTGCATATCAAATGGTAGGGTATTATCAGTTCTATAATATTTATGCTTCAAATCAAAGGAAAGCAGCTTAATTAAAGAGAAAAATCGATTCTCCGAACGTCAACTTTATGTCACGGAGCATCTTTAAGCTTTTATTTTACCGATCCGTAAAAAAATTACCAAAAAAAACGAATCAAAAAAAATTAAAATACTACTCTTATCTTTGATTATTGTGTAAATCTATTAATGAAACTTAATAGAGTAATTATTTTTGATGATTTGAGACTATTTTGATATTTAAACTCAAATGTATTTAAAAGATATTAAAAAAAAGATTATTAACAGCCAAACACAAATAACCTTGGATTAAAAAAGCTTATTTTTCAAAATTCCACCATTCTGGAGAATTGCCCAAATTTTATATTTTTAAGTCGACTTAATAAATTTAAGCGATCTTAATCGTTACGTTCATATGTCAATTCAAAATTATGATTTGAAAATTAAAGCAATTAAGAGTTTACAGTTCTAGTTACAATGTAAGAAACAGGCTTCATAAATATTCAAATCTGTTTGGATTTTTAACCATATCAATCTCTTGATATTTTAAAAGCCTTTATTTCTATTTGCATTTTTAATTAATAGTTTAATTGTCGGTATATTATTAAGTTATATCTTAGATCGTTTTCTTAACAATTTTTCAGTTTCATGTCTGTTAATTATGCTTTGACCATGCTGATACGATTTGAAGCATTTCAATAAAAAATTTCAATTTTCTCAATAAAACATAATAAAAATTTTGTCTACAAGCAAAGCACATCTTACATGATGCTGTTGATTTCTCGCAAAAATGGTTTTCGGTAATAATTTGGTAATTAAAGATATTACAAAACTGTTGAACACATTGTGCTTTTATAAAACATTCAACATTAGAATCAACATGTTATTAAAGACATCAAGCATTCAACTTTTTAGATTCAAAAGTATTCAGAAGATGGCGTTGATGGAACTTAAATTAAAAGCTCCTTAAGAACTCTGTAGAGTTATGACTTCTTATTTTTCTTTTTCAACAAATCCTTCTTTGAGCTTTCAAACACTATCACTCTTCTTTTCTTGGGTGTAAACCTTATTTCTCTATTTTTCCATTGCATTTTCACATTCACTTGCTCCTTTGGTGACATTTTCTTGAATTCCATTTTGATTGCTTCTATTCTATCACCAAAAGGTTTCCAAACCTTAGCACAAAAATTTCTAATCACTTCAATGTTAAAGATCAATTCTAGGACAAATATTCCACAACTTATACTTAAGAAAAGTATCAAAATGCTAAAGGGACCTTGCAAGTGTTCAGGTGTCAAAACAATTTCAGGATTTTCTTCTTCCTGTATACGATCGTGTTCTTCTACCAGTTCTTCGATATATTCAGCATCTTTACCTTTGTTTCGCAGATATTCGATTCGCTTTGTAAGCTTTAAGCGAGCAAAAATGTTTGAATCGAATGCAAAATCTTGAAATAATTTACTCATAATTCCAATATCACGAAATAGTCCCAAGATTTTGTTAATCCTTTTGATCAATGGGAAACCTCGTTCAGCCAACATTTCCAAATGATTTGAAAACAGTTCTTCAGACATCCCAAAAACATTATCACGATGTGCAGTTTGCCGAACATAGTATTGGCTAATTAATAACGCCATTTTTCCTTGCGAAATTTCATAAATGGTTTTGGGAGATGGACGAAAAGCTTCAGAGTAGTTAAATCTAGAAAAAATTTCCTCATCAAGTCCATCGCCGTTATCAAACCAATCCATAGTTTCAAGACGACCACCAATTTGTAAATTTGAATCCAAAAGTTCATCTAAACTGTCAATTTGATAGTCATCTTTTGGGTTAGTAAATACATCAATAAGCTTAGATGTGTACAAAGTTGTGATGATTAATGCATAAAGCGCAAGAATGCAGAAGAAAAACCTTAGCGAATTATATTGTGGTCGATTATTTGCTGAAATGCCCAGAAAGACACAAAGTACATTTAAACAGATTAATATAAATTGACGGTGTTGATAAGATTCAAGTGAAAATATTCCAAAAATGAACCAAAATATCCATGCAATTATAAAAGTTGTTAGCACTGCATACCAAATATCACTACTATAAATATTGATCAACCCTTTCCAGCGAGGCTCAATTGGTGCTTTAGGAACAAAAAATCTATAATAATCTTGAAGATAATAATCAGTATATGCAAAATCTTCGTGTGTATCGTAGTCTGGGAAGAAAGCTCCTGCAATTATATCACATCTATCTTCTCTAACTTCGTTAAGCAGAAAAGTCCAAGATCCATCTTCTTGCCTTTCGCCTCGATCAAGAGTCGTACAAGTTGTATTTATACCAAAACCCATTTCATCTTGCAGAAAGTTTAGAATCATTATTTCCATTCCATCTTTACATCCTTCATTTATAAATGGTTCTTGAACTCTAGCACATAAAGTAAAGATACAATCCTTTCCCATTTCATCGGGTATTTTTTCCATATCAAGCCATTTAGCAGTCACTTTCTTATTTTCAAGAATTCCACGATTACAAATTCCAGCAAGAACTGTTTTCATTTTTCCACATACCGGTGCTCCTCTCATGCCTTCTATATCACCACATACCTTACCATTAACTCCATATGGATCGCCAAGATATATTTCATATGAAAATGCATCATTTGCATAAAGAACAACAACATTAACAGCTCGATACTCTTTAAATAGCATGTTTAAAAATTCACACGCAATTTGTCTGCCTTCATTACGCTGATCAGGATTATTGAATAGAATCACGTATCTTGCTTCCTCGTTAAATGATTTTGTCTTGCTGATAGTTATCATTGTGTTACTGAACTGTTACGTAATATAAAAATTTTATGTGTACAAAGTGTATTGCATGTAGTCAGTCAACTTACAGTTTCTTTGTTGTCGGTTACAATTAAGTAGAAATCAGTAAGAGTTACATCCATAATGCCTTCATACTTCTTTGGGGAGTATTGGGCTGATAATATTTTTAACTGAAAGCTGAATAAGATGACTGTTTTGTAGAATTTCATGATTATGAAGCAATTCTAAACTTACTTCATCTCATTCTCCTTATTTTCGTGTTTTAAGGATATTCTCTGATGTAAGTCAGCTAAATATTGCACTTCAATTTCAGCTGCGGGTGCTGATAAGTTTTTTGTGTGGAAAATAGCCATGTTTGGAGTTTGCCACGTCTGGTTCTTGAAGTAAATTCTTTCTATTTGCTCTAAACAATCCTTACCTGCAATAACAGCACCTGAAAGCGAATTTAAATGAGTTTGATGGATGTTGAATGTCAAATTGATCATTTACCTGGTCCTCTGTCATTCCATGATCTTAAATAAACAATACAATTCAGGTTTTGCACTAATGTAAGTAGGACAGCTACCAAAATACTAAATTTGAAGCTTTTATTCATACTTTAGTCCTCTCTGCGCTAAAATTCACAAATAACTATTCTAAAAAGCTAAATTGATGCATAAAAAATTAGCAACATGTCAATTTTTATGTCATAATAATTGTTCTGTAATTAATTAATTCAAATATTAGACCGTTCGACAAGTGTCATATGTCATGCAATAACACAATCATCGTTAAATTACAAACTATTGTGCACAATTTATTCAGGAGAGTTTGTTTTTGATTCATTGTAGGAATAAAAGTAAAAGTAACAGTAACATTTGTATATTGGACGGATAAAAATGTCAATGAATTGCAAATAATTTGAAACTTAATATAGAATTATAATATTTAATGGATTCAAAACAAAATATGAATCTTCAAAAAATTATAAGTGCTCTTTAATCTTAAAATATTTCTAAGGACAGTAATAAAATTGATTTTTTTAACTTATTGACTAAACATTAGTTTCAATGAAATTTAAAATTATTGAAACGAACTTTAAGGGGAAAGAACTTATGGGTAAATACGGGGATATACGGGAACATACGGGCATATACAGGAAAATACGGGGATTCAAAGAATATAAATCAATGTATACAGAAACCAATAATAAGCATAAAACACATGTAAAAATATCATAATTGTTTCTATTTATTTAAATGTTATCATAAAAAAATGAAAAAAACATAACTATGTGTTCTTGAGTAAAGTCTGCATTAAAATTTACGTGATATTTATAACATTTAAGCTCAAAAAACTTAAATATATTCATCACAACCTTTTGTCCACTCTCAATGAGGAATAAAGGACTCAATAGCACGACAATGTTTTCGGAATGCACCATGTCTACTAAGTCCTGATAGTATATTGACTTAATGTTTGATCGAATATGCATTCGCTTGAAGTTTAGAACCCTACCAAAAAGTATATTTCCCTCATCAAATTGAACAACATTATCACCTTTCGAAACTTTTGTCGCTATCCAATAATCATCAGCTTGATTTTCTTCTGGAGTTATATGTATTGTTCTACGAGGTACAAAGCGCTGTCTAAGATCTATATTGACATGAATTTTGTTATTTTCTAACATCCATATTAACTGATCTTTCTTAACGATTCTTGTAGCATTACCCTCTTTAATTGTAAGATATCCATTGTTTGATCTAGTCCTAAGAAATTCAACATTTTGAAAAGTAATTGTCTCGTCGATCGGCTCAGGATCTTCATTATCCCAATCCAAAAAAAATACGATTGGTAATAGATTGTGTTTCAGATTGATCAGTTGAAGCACTTAACAAATCCTTTAATGAAGTTTCTTCATGATAAATTCCAAGTTCTTTTGCCTTTTCAATTGCTGCAAAAATTCCACTCTCGATGATAATGTTAATATCGTTGGAGTTAATGTCTTCGTTTACGCGCCTGTTTCTTTCCTCTCGTTGCTCAATAGCAGGAAATGAAATTTCATCTTTTAGCTCAAACATTATTCGCTCTTGTGTAAACGAGAGAGAAATATTTTTGAAGTGCAGTTGATATGTGTACTTTGTACACCAGTTAAAGAACGAACATGACGAAACTCACTTTCACATTGTTGTGAAGAATTTTCGGATATATTGTTAGCTCGTTTCTCAATTATCAATCGTAATAGCCACAGTAAGTTCATTTCGAGTCGTTCGTAACAACTAGTAGAGATAAAACTATTATTTTGTGTACCTTTCTTAATAATATCTGTCTTCCATAGCCTTAAAAAACTAACCATATAGACGGTATTAAATAAACGGTCAGAAATAGATGTATCATGTTCCACATATGACTTTAAACCACACTGAATTAACTCAAGATATAAAATTGTTCTTTTTGTATCTTACATTGTTCTTAGCAGATCCAACACACGTTTACTAGTTATTTTGTATATACAGTCATAGTTCATGAAATCAGTCACGTCTAAATCACTTTGAACAATACCATGTAAGGTTTTATCAAATTTTTTGTACATGATAATCAAATGATTGGCTGTAACAACGTTATTTCCAATACGCATAGGTCGTGAAAACTGATTCATGAGATTCTTCCATCGTTTGAGTATGTGAAATGCATCCTGAGTGCCAAGATTTTCTGCCATTAGATTGCCACAATTAATTCAATTGATCCATACATTTCCACTTCACCAAAACTAATCAATTTCTTTTGTGCATTAAATAGTCTAACATCGCCATCACTTCCGTATCCAAGAAAATTTATGCCATAATTCAAAAATTCTTCCTTCATATAATTTAGTTGACTTGTGAAATTCATTTCTGTAAACGTATTGCTAGTGAAATAAACTCCAAGAAGAAAAGCCCCAGAAAAGCCTTTGCATTAGGAACATTTGGTTGTGCTAGCAACACTTGAACGTAGGACGCCTTATCGAATTTTGTAATCGAGTCATAAATATTCTTGGCACTATCAGCTTTATGAAAGTTGACGAATGGTAAACCAGTGGTAGGATCAAACGGTGCATTCAATCCTATGAGTGTATTAGTGTCTGGACAATATTCCACTTTACTCGTTATACGTGATCCATCTTCAAAAACATGGACTTCAAAAGGGTATTCGTTTGCTGCTAGATACTGGTGCAATTCATCAAATCTTAAAAGATTTTCCTTCACAACACTCAGCTCATTATTCATAAAACTTTTGAGACTACTTAACTCAGGAAAAATCATATTAACGTGTAGAAAGTTATACAGAGATTTTCCTCCTCGCATATAAATAAAAGCGGAAATCATTTTCACGACATGACTGTAACGGTTGCCTTTGAAATGTAGTTTATTTTTTTGTACGTTTTCCAAACAAATCTTGATGAAACTTGTTACTCGTTCACTGTCATTTATCTAAAAATGTGTAATTATATTATATTTACACATATAAATATTATATTATATTTGTATTATATTATATTATATTATATTTGTCTCTGCAAACGATTTGAGGTCCGAGTTTGTAAACGAGGAAAACGAGACCGAGGAACAACATGATTCAAAATTGGTGAGACATTTTCAGTTTCTTGTGTTACATGAGATTCTAATTGGATTGTAGTGTCTAATTGAATAGGGAGAGACTGTCGATTTAAATTACGTAATGTTGGATTGATGTCAGCATTTGAATGAGAATTACTTAAAAGAACTGAGCGACGCAAAAGATTTCTAGTTTGTAAGTGTTCACGATTTAAGTGCTCAACAAAGTTACGCTTATAAAATGAATTGTTACGACAAGGACTAATGATTGAATAAGATAAGCGGCATATTGGACAGGTAGCAAGAAAGTTTTGTTCATCAATCACAATAATTGCACCATTCAATTGGTTCGGAAACAGTTTTTCAAACTCTACCGTTAAAGATCCACTCCATTTAACGACACGACTTTGAACAGCATCTCCAGTGTTTTGCATATTACTGGAATTAATGCTTTGATTTCCTCTTTCTCCAGCAGCAGAACGATAGTGATTTGCAATTGACTTTATTTTTCCAACAACCATAAACGGGATCTCGAAATTCTGAACATTGCAAAAGCACTCTTTTATATGCTGAAGCTTCTACTACTAGCTGATTGTCAATATTTGGTCCCCCTGCAGATATTTGTATTATCTGAAATATTTTAAATTTGTTAAATAATGAAAATTTTAATATTCTACTAAATACAACCTTTTTAGCGCATTTTTGAAAACTTTTTTTCGAAAAGGGAGCTCAATAATACACTTTGTTCGTTCGTTCGTTCGTTCGTTCGTTCGGGCAAGCATAAAAACTTTGCAACCAGACATCGTAGAGAGCTCGGATTTGTTTTATTAGCTCCGTTACTATTGTTTATTGTCCGATCGAACAGTTAAAAGTCTTCAAGCAGTGTATTTATGCTATAATTAATGAGTTTTTGTTTTGTTTTCAGTGTAACCTGCTCAAATTTTGTTTTACCTCTATAAATTCAAATTTACCTCTATAATTTCAAATTTTTTCTAGCCGTTGTAAAATTTCAAATTTTAAAAAACCGTTAAATGATAAACTTTTTCTATATGGAAATTCATTGCAGCAAATTATTAATTATAATCAAATACTGATCGCTTCGTCAAAAATGCGCTGAAGTCCCTCGATCAATAACACGAGGACTTTTGTAATTTTTTGATAAGCTATTCACTAAGTTTGAAATTTCAACGTTAGTTTGGATTGAGTTACTCCTATTGCCTTTAAAGCCACAAGAACTATGTTTGGAAGTTTTTCTTCGTCTGTTGCTCGATTAAATTTAAAAATTCCTGAAATTAATGTTGAACCATTAGAAAAAAACAGTTATCTTGATATTATTTCAGTTCTTACCATTATCGTATTATGATTCTTTCAACATAAACTAACGTAAATTAAACTATTACACAGATTTTTATCTTTTTTTAAATTTAAACCACAAAAAAGTCCAAAAAAATACATTGATAATGATGAAAACAATATTCAGTGGTCTTCACTTTATAAAATAAAATTACTTTTAAAACAGATGAATCCGTTTCAAATTATTGATTTTACACATAAAAAAAAGCGTGTAAAAAACAGACAAGGAAACAAAGTTAATCATTTATGGAGTAAATGTGATAATATACGAAGATATACGGGAATATATGGGGATATAAAGGAAAATACGGGAAAATACGGGAATATATGAGGATAAACAGGAAAATACGGGAATATAATACGGAATAAATGGGGATATACAGGATAATACTGGGATATACGGGAAGATTTACGAGTTCTTTCCCCCTTTGACTTTAACATTAAATCTTAACATCTTATATTTTCTTTGTTAGTAATTTATGCTAAGCATAATAAACTTAACTTTAAAGTTAATTGTCATGAGAATTAAATCTTAGATTATACTTTTTGTGAAAATGTTTAACAATCTTTTCTGATCAATATAAATGTAACTTAATAATTCTTTAAGAAGTTTGACGATATCAAATTCAAGACTTACCAGCATATTTGATTACAAATGGCTCTAATATCTTAATTTGATGTAATTTCTGATGTATCTTAAAATTTCTTCGGAATGTGAATTGACAAGCTAGAAAGCTTATCAAGAATTTCTGTAATATGCAAATCAGTATTGTCCAAAATATCGTCATCATTTTGAGTCAAATCTTCAGTAATTTTTAATTCATTTTTCTTAAAAATTTCTCGTCTCAAACTTTCATTTCGCTTTTTAGCAGATTTCTTAGCTGAACTTGGTTGAGGAATTGTTTGAGTTTTAGAGGACTTAATAGATCTTTTAGATTCATACAGAACTGCTCCATAGCCTGATGGACGAATTGTGTTGAAGAAATCAGAATTTTTCGGTGGGGCTTCGGTGATTTTTACAATTGGCTTGAGATTTTCTTCATTAAAATCTGCTTCCCGTACTCTAATTGCACTTACTAGTTTTTTGATTGTATTTTTCATGATATTGTAACGTTTAAGAACTCTCTGCTCGAAATTCTCAATCGGATCTGGATAAGTCAATATTGCTTCACATTCATTGATAATTAATTTGAAGTCATTGAAATAAAATAAAGCAACTTTATCTTGATGGAGCTTCAAATTATCGGAAGCGACTGTCAAATGAGTCAAAAGAACTTTTGAAAAGTCCAAAATAAGAAGAAGTGAATCTTTATCGAAAGTTTTGCGATTATTCTCAATAGAATCAATTATCAGATCGACCAAGATCATACAAAATGCTTTTGTGTCAATAATTAAATGAATATTCCTTTGTAGCTCATCACATTCCTCATAGAAATGTTCCTTTAAAATGTCAAGTGATGGATCCTCAATTTTACTCGTTAAAGCTGGAATCAAGTAAGTGTCTAGACTCTCGATCGATGCTAGGCATGATTTTATCAATGAAGAAACTTTAACGTCATCTTTTGCGAATGTTACAGCAAATTGTCCAATTAGTAAGAATCTTTCGATTAGAATGTCAAATTTATCAATTTCTGTGCCTTGACTTTTTAATTCAGCATCTATGACTAATTTTTTTAAAGGATTTTCATTAATCTCACTAAAGACGTGGTAAACAAGACGCAATAGTGAGTCATTGACATAATTTTCAAGCCGATATAAAGAACTTTCAAGTTCCACCGACTTCAATCTCTTCTTGACAGCATTAATGTCATTCAGTTTAGTATTTGAGAATGTAAATTCATCCTTAAATTCTCTGGATAATTTAAAAAGATTTTCTGACAGTACCTTTAATGGAATGTGATCACTGCTGACGGCTATGTTCGAGAATGACAGTGTTAAACTGAGTAAGTTGTTGATTCCTTCAAATATTTCCTTACTTTCCATTATCATATTAGCTCTTCTTTCTGCTTTATTTGTCACATTACATTCATCATCCAGATTCACAAATGAAGCCAAATTATCAAGTACAGCATCGAGTATCTCAATAAAGTTTGCCTGATCATTTATTTGTTCTGAAACTACATGATCATTTGCAGAATTAATTATGCTCTTTAATCTCACTAAGCACCAAAAGATTCTGTCAAAGAAGCACTGTCTGGATGTGATAAGGCACGAGTTTTGATCCTTTTCAGTGCTCACAGTTTTCTCCAAGAATCTTAAGCACACAACAATCTGATTAGCACATAACATGCAGTGATGGATGATTATTTGCTTGTTTGGTGACTTACTTAAGCCTCTATTGAGGAATTCGTGGAGTTTCTTGAACGCATCGATAAACTTTACTGACAATTGCTGGAAGTGGATGAAGAAAAATGATCAGATTTTGAAATTTATAAATTATTCAATTAAACTCACGCTTAGCCATTCAATATTCGATCCCCCTGCACTCTTGTATTCCCCATAGACATATTTCTGTATATTATTCAGATCGTTAAGCACTATTTCAGCCATAATATAATTAAATTTGTTCAGTAAACTTGTTGAATGTTCGTTTCTTTTTAAACTCAGAGGGGTAATCAACTTTTTTCAACTGCCAGTTTTTAACTGAAAAAAATTGAAAATTCAAAAAGCGCTTTCTGCGATTAATGTTGGCAAAAATTACAAGACTCAATTTTCAATTAATTAAATCATCTAGAATGAGTAGCTGTGCCTTAGACCGTATTATTGCGAATAACAAGATCGCTGAGGATACTCTTGCTGCATTGAAACGTGAGGTAATTATGAAGAATCATTGATTTTTTAAGTATTAATTTTTAACCAAAATAATTGCAAAATATTTTCAGTTTTCATCAATTAAAGATGAAGTTATCAGCCGTAAAATCACCGAAATCCAAAAAGAGAATGATGATTTGAGGAAACAAGTGGAAGCAGCAAAGCAACAATTAATCCAATTGGAAGTTGCAAATGGCAAAAAGCAAATAAGTCTACCAAATCAAAATAATCCAGTTCAATCACAAGAAGCACCAAAAGTTGAAGCTGTAAAGGAAGAAAAAAAGACGGTTGCTGCTAAAAAGGAAAAGGTTGAGAAGCCTAAGAAAGAGAAAGCTCCAGCGGCTGAAAAAGCAGCTCCTCAAGTGGAAATAATTGATGTGGGAAGACTAGATATGAGAATTGGCAAGATCATTGAAGTTGGTAGACATCCAGATGCTGATTCATTGTATCTAGAGAAGATTGATTGTGGCGAGGAGAATCCACGAACTGTTGTGTCTGGACTAGTTAAGCATGTGCCACTTGAGGAAATGCAGAATCGAATGGTAATTGTCCTTTGTAATCTTAAACCTGCAAAAATGAGAGGAGTTTTATCAGAAGCAATGGTAATGTGTGCATCATCACCAGACAAAGTTGAGATTATGAATCCACCAGAAGGTTGTGTACCTGGAGATTTAGTTTCATGTGATGGAATAACAAGAAGTCCAGACCAGCCATTTATGAATCCCAAGAAGAAAGTTTTTGAGACTGTCGCGCCTGATCTAAAAGTAAATGATGAGCTAATTGGCACGTACAAAGGTGCAAAATTGTTTGTCGAAGGAAAAGGTCCAATAAAATCACAAACACTGAAAAATGTTAATATCAAGTAAGATTTTTTGATAATATCAAGGCAATAAGAAAAATAAACTTTTACGTTATAGCATCAAAAAACTTTTATTCAGGATTTTTAATTCAATTTTCAATCAAAAGTTTTCTGTTTATAGAAGATGGAATGAATTCAAAAGGATGGTGAATTCTTCCTTAAAAATGAAAGTGAAGTGAATGCATTCCAAATTAATCGTACATTTTTTTTATATCATGATTTTTTCTCTTAATACTGTCATTAAATATATGAATTCCATTTTTCTCTTTATATTTTTCATTGATATTCTACATAATTTAAAACTTGAGATTATCAATCGTCAAGAATTCTCTTTTCGTTTATCTAAGTTTTCTTTATAGCTTTTATTACCTTTCCCATCATTTCTGGTGAAAAGAATCAAAATTTGTCTCTAACCTAAAGTAATTTTTATAGATTTTTATTATTATTTTCGGTAGTATTTTATAGATTTTTTTTCTTCCTTTTCTTTGTTTATTATTTAATTTTTTTTATTTTTTAATATCACAAATTGAACTTATCAGCTTCTCTATTTCCATTTAAATCGGCAAAATAAAATTTAAAACCTATTTAAAACTTTTTTTTTTCAGGGGAATAAGCATACAATTTTGGGAGTAAGAATGATTTAGCTTCGTTTGTTGATTTTTATGTGCATTTTAGTTCTTATTTTGATTAAAAATCAAGTTTTCTATCGTCTTTCAATAGCTTTAATTCAAATTGGAGTGAAATTACCTCGTCAAGGACAATTCTTAGCTTTTTAACCTTCAATTACGAAAAACGTGGGAAAATCATCAAAAATGTTCAATCTGCATAAAAATTCCTACAAAAGAAGACATCTGTTTAAAAATTCTTGAGTTTGACAAACAAAAATTGCTATATTCGAGTTATTCAGAAAACAACCTGATCATAGTAACCAAAGATATCAGAAAATTAAATTATTCAATTAATAATATATCGATCGTCAGACTTATTGTTTTCAATTTTTGGACGAAATAGGTAAATAAAACTTTACAACACTCAATTAATCTGTTACTGAAGAGCTTGCATTTTTAAATATCAAAAATTAAGCACAAAATCATGTTCAAGTTTGAAGAAAGAAACTCAAATCATTTTCACTCCCAAATCAGCGTCAAAAATGTAAGTAATTTTATGATTACAAGTGAAATTGAAAGCGTTTTTCGCTTTATTTTCAATTATTTATTAATAAGTGATTTTTAAATTCAATTTCTACTGCAAAAGTTTAAACTTGTTTTCTTTATCCTTTAATTTTTAACTGTATATTGCTTATTGAAAATGTTCATTTATATTATTTTTTAATTTTCAAAGAGAATTTTGGGGTTTTCATTGAGATAATTATTTGATGATATTTAGATCTTCTCCTTATTAATATGGTTGGTATTTAGAGATACACATTTTTTTGAGAAATCAATGAAAACATGAAATTAGATTTACATACACATCTATTATGTATACAGCATGAATGGACTAAATTATTCAGTAATTAACTGGAATTATGAAGCTTTCAGCAATTATAATTAATTGTTTTCATCAGAAAAAAGGACTCGCAATGAGATTGCAATTATCACATTATTGAAATGTATTTTAAATTTAAACGATAGATACAATTAGAGGTATTGTGGCAATGCTAAAATTTGATTATGTCAATCGAGAATGCGCTTTTGTTTTTGTCATAAATCAATCGTCGTGACAATTCACAGAATTTTTATGGGCTTTAAAAGAATTTTTCATTTTAATCAATCGATGCAACTTTAAATCCAAAGATTAAAATGAAATTTCTTTCAGTTTTGATTTTTTCATTCTGAGATAATCAACTACAATTGCCATTTTTTATATAGAAAGAGATAGTAAGATTAAAGAAGTAAAGATTTATAGATTCTTTAAGAGTAATTGACTACGTGAGTGCTTAAACAAGCCTATATAATTTTATAGTTCAATGAACTGCAATTTTTATGATTTTACTCAATGATAAATCTTTTTTTAAAGCTTTTTTATTTTTGTCGTCATTCCATTAAAAAGCACAAAGAAAGGAGATTTCAGCAACCAGAAGCAAAATTGAACGGATTGATTACTAAATTTGAAGATTTTAATTTCGAAATAATGTTTTTAAAAAGAAACTTTTGATTCGGCATCAATCATTTAAATTGTTATTTAAAAGTATTTTAGCCCTATCTATAATCAGTCCATCATATTTATTTTTTCGTTCTCGCCGAACCATTCAAAAGTTTTCATGTTCAAATGATTATTAACGCAAATTACTTTCATCATTAATTTAGGCTTTGAAAAGAGATTAAAAAATTTTTGTTTTTCATTTTGGTGTGCGACTTTTTTTAAATCTTTTTTCTATAATTCGATGGATTCTTCTTCCTCTTTATCATTTCACTACTTTTCTAATTAATATAATTTCAATTTTTTTTCTTGAAGGCTCTAATTTAGTTTATTTTTTGTTACAATTTTTTTTTCACTCAATTTTTGAGACAGATTTTCGATTTTATGGATTAAAATGATTTCAAGTGAATATTTTAAAGTTTAAATTATATTTACAATTTCTGAACTAAGCTTCGTTAAAATTTAGCTAAAAGCAGATCTTTAAGTTGACTCGGATTTTGTATGGATTTTCCCTTGCAAAATCTGAATCGACTTTGAGCTCTGCGTTAATAAGAAAGCAATTAAAGTTAAGTAACATTAGCAAAAGCAGAAAATAGGAACTAAGTAGCAACAATATAAGATATCCCTGAATTTCATCGATTCAGTTTAATATTAATACAAATTTAAAGTCATTTCATAAATATTTCAACAAAGTTAATCTTTAAAATTCTTCTAAATTCACTTTAAAACTATCGTAGACGTAAAAGAAGTACTGAGCAAAACTTATAAAGTTCTCAACTCCCTTCTGACTTATAAAAAAAATCCTAACGAAACTTTCGATAAAATAAAGTTTGTTTTCTTCATTAAATTTAACTTCTTCAATCTAGAAATCCCCAAACAATCAGTAATATTCAAATCTGTCCCAACCTTGATTATATTTTTCAATTTTTTATACAAATCTTTATACGTCTCTAAATGCGATAGAGAAAAATGTTTAAATTCTCATGAATTCTTCTACCAAATCAGAGCCATAAAAATAAAATTAAAAGTTTTGACATCTCCTTAAAGTTCTCGGTGCTAGCAAATCATAGCTCGAAATGTGAATCGGATGTTAAATTACTTAACAATGGTATGTCAATTGTTTGATTTGATATTGCACCGCACTTTGATGTTGACATTGATTCCATCCAGTCGATGTCTCTTACGGTCGCCTGTAATGTTAAAGAGAAGATGTGTTAGCACTTGAATAAAACGAGAATAAATAGCTCAATAGATTATATTGAAGAAAATCAAGATTTAAAATGTGCAATTTTATTTTACATAAAATATTTGCACTTTGGATACAGTATACATTTCGTATGTTCTATTAAATGAATGCATGGACGATTCCGCATGTCAGACGACTTAGTCTTATTAGACGTTTAAAGAATAGACACTTGAATGACAGATTCGGATTATAAGTTCTTGTTTTCTAACCGCAATCAAATCCTGAGGATTATTTGTGGTAAAATAAGCGATTTTGGGATGGTATTGATTATTTGATAAGTTTTGTTTGAGAATCTTTAATGTTCGGAAGCTTTAAATTATGGTAAAAATTAAGTTTGACTTTTCTAGGAACTTCAATATTGAACTGACATAAAAGAGCTTTGTTTTTGTTTACATAAGTAAATCTTGCGGCAATCAGAAGATAATCGACAAAAGTACTAGTATTGATCTAAAGCCAGGCTATAGAAAAGTCAAACAACATGTTTTCATTGATTTATTATAGAACAAACCTAATATATTACTTATTAAATAGAATTGATCATATTTGAATACAACTTGAATTGTATTTCCTCAAAAACAAATAAATTTGAGTCTGAAGTTGTCAAATCCAAAACAAACTCTCTCAAACGTGTAAATATCGTCCAATTACATCATCCACGAACCCTCAAAGCTCATCGAAATTTGAGCAAACATTTGTTAAAAACAAATTAACCTCAAAAAACATAACCTAGAAAACCTTTCGCCTGTGAATCTATGCGATTTTCTGGGAAATTGCCCATACATTTTATATCATGATCAATTTTATTTTTTATCATACAATTGTACGACATCGAACAGAACATACTGGAGCGTACATAAGCTTTATAAATTATTCATTCCACTTTTATGCTGACGCGCATGATATTATGCTAATTTATAAAAAAAAATTATAATAATACGGTTCTGTTTGTTGCGAAAAAAAAAGTTTATTTGGAAAACCAAACAATTCGGTCGGAAAAATTTGGTCAACTTCTATTTTATCAAATTAACGAATTATATTATTTTTTGTAAGGAAAGTCACATGTGTGCCATTATTTTAATTTAATGCCGTCTAATTTAAATTGTGTATTCAATTTGTTATGGCAAATATGCTTTTAGTAGGAGTGAGGGGATTTGCTAGAAAATTTATGGCAACACATTTGCAGCAGCAGCACTTTAATCGCTTCGTTCCAAAAAAAAAAAGTATAGAAAGTTTTATATGCTGGTATAGCACCAAACTAAAACTATCGCAGTTTATTCTTTCCATTGTCTGACCTTGATTCATAAAATCACAATGTGGCATTGCATAATTCTTTTTCTTCCTTCCTTTTTTGCGCCCTGTGCAGGATCGATAAACAAAAAAGAAATAATTTTTATTTCCGCGCTACCTCTTTTTTTTACGTTCATAGGAAACAAAAATCATCATCCACATGAAGTGTGGAAAATTAAATGTCTAATTGGATTTTGACAAATATTGATTTTCTGTGCTCTTTTTTTCGGGTTCTATTTTAATGCCTATAACAATATAAAATCATAGATTCTCACCTGATGCATTGAATACACGGCCACCACAACGAGGACGTGCATAATGTTGTGAGAGTTCAAGTAATAATCCAAACAGCCTGGGAACCATTTCTCAGGGATGTGCATAGCTCCAATTGCACCGCCAAATATTGAAACGCCATCCTAGTGAGAGTAAAATAGAAGAATTTGTGTTTACATTAGTTTAACATAGATATTGTAGAGTCGCATTCGAACATGTGCATGAGAACATAGATTGCTTATTAATTAAAACAATTTCATACTAAAAATCACGTTTCACAAGTTCTTCCTCATGTCTGAACTTGAACTAGATTGTTTGAACACATTGCCATTGTTTAGGTTTCGTACCGCATCTATTTTAAGTTTTGCTAGTTGGAGATACTGTACAGTAATACTATTAATGTTACAAAGTTGCATCAAATGTTATTAGAATAGTTTATATGCTCTAGACAATGGTTTAGTGCCTGATAACTTGTGACTATTGATTTATATGACCTGCCAATTTTGAAGCTTTGAAGATTGTCAAAACTGAATTTGATTTAAAATAGCACTTCAATGAATTAAGGTAGCTAGCGCTAGTATTTCCTTAGAAACACGCAATCCGGTATAATATTATGAATTCATTACGATTTCTGTAGGATCCCAACCTAACAAGCGCATGTTGCTAAATTATACATGATTAAATATCAAAACAAAAATTCTATCTGCAAAATCAAGAATTTTTATGTAAGAATAATAATATTTGGGAATATCCAGCTGTATCTGTAAATCCCACGTAAGCCTTTTATACAACTTCTCCTGTTTTACTTCCAACGCCTTTTTAACGCTTACGTGATTTTTCTACTAAAACCTACACGAATGTACTTTTAGGCTCAGATGTTGTATTCAGTAATGAGTTGAAATCTTTCGACGTTGAAACATTCAGCAATTGAGCCTTCGAGACACCGCAGCTTAGAATTCATCATTAGAAAATTTTGGTGCTCTCAAGATCATTAATTTTTAACAAAAGAGGTCTTTTAAAATTTTCATTTCACTGCGAAATTTTTAAGCTCCTGTTCTGATATTCTTGAAATGTCAACCTTTTGTAGAACAAACTTTGAAAGCTTCAAGTAAATTAAGTTAAATAAAAAAAGGATTAAAACTGTTAATTTTGTGGCAAAAAGTGATGTAAATTAAATTATGAATTTTTAATCATCTGAATTAAATTTCTGGGTTGTATTTACAATGTGTGGCTTTTTCATATTCAATTTTTGCGTTTAAAAATTATTCCACACATTTGTCAGCATTGCAAGCTGTTAACAATAAAATGCGACTTAAAAGCCCTTGATATCTCATTCAGTGAGTATGATAAATTTTTTTCAAGTTCATCATTTTGATGAGCTTTCGTTGCAAAAACAAAGTATGTCTGTTTAAAAGCTCGTAAAGATACAATTTACAAACATACATGATGAAATGGGAAACTGCACAAAATAGACAGAAAAAAAAAATCATTTCCTCACATTTCCCAAGTGAATGAATAAAAGTTTCATGACGTAGAGTGTGGCAATTTTTCATGTTGATGATGATTTCATTTTTTTTTTATGTAACCGAAAGCATCAATTTTTCATTATTTTCTGGAGCTTGATTCATTTAATTGAATTGAAAAAGTTGAAGTTATCGAATTTTATTTAAATTGCTTTTTCATGCTAGAGGAAGTGCTTCAATTAATTAAAAAATGTTTGAACGAGATGGACATGATGAGTTTTTTGTGCTTGCATTGAATATTGGGTTTTATTAAAATTAAACCAAACTTTAGAAGTTTACCATCGCATTATAAGTTTCAAGCCCCTCTGGCTTGTTGTGATTTTCAGTTTTGCTTCATAATTCAAACAGTAAACATCAACAAAAATCTACTTTAACTTAATTATTAGACAAACTTTATATATTGTTCTGCAATAATAGAACCTACTGCAATATTGTAAACTTTAACACAATAAACAAAAAGCATTTCAATCTCAAATTGAGCTTGAAACAATGAATGTAATTTTACATTGAACATTCTTGACTTTCTCCTCTATTTTGGAGCTCTCATCTCAAAACAATCATATTATTTATCATCAATTCATTGTTTTGAACCACAGAGAACAATTTTGCAATTCACAGCAACATTGTTGTAAACAAAAACTTTATTCAGCTAAAATATCAAAGTTCATCGTTCATCACAAGTAACATGAATAATACACAGCTCGGTAGCATCATAAAAAAGTTCGACAGATGAAGTTTTTAGAGGAAATTGTAAAAACTGCAACGTAATTTCTTCCTTCACAACAATGTACTCATTCATTCGTTCATCAATAATGAAAAATATTTTTATGTTCAGGCGTTCAAAACAAGTAAGCAAAAGATTGAACTCGATATGATTGAAAACAATAATTATTTCGAACAAAAAGATTTCAAAGTAGAATGAACAGCAAGAGTGAATGGGATTAAATTTTAATAATGAAAAAACGGTGAAGGTATGAGCAAAGGGAAGGTATGATAATTCTCATTGACTACAGAATTAATGATAGAGTTTGAAATAACACGCGAACGTAAAGCGCAATTCGAGCAAATCAATGTTGTGAGTGTTGTTTGTATCCCTTCTTTACCTGTATGAATAATCAATGTGCTTATGTCGTTCATACCTTCAATACAATTTCTATAACTTGTGTAGACGTCGAAAGAGAATTTCGCAGGAAATTCATGCCTATATGTTTAGGGTCCAAAAATACATCTGCTACCCCTCAAGAACGTCTAAACTTGCCGTATCATTATTTCTGAGAGTGAAAAATTATTAAATTGAATGGTAAAAATTTTCTTCATTTTTCAAGTGAAACATGCTGCCAATATTAACATGCTATGTCTCCCACCCTAAATATACATGTGTGTGCGTATAAAAGCTTTTTTGAGTACATATGGGGTGGATATAATACGATTATGGCTGAAATTTCAGATATTCAAAGATATAATAAAATATTATTAAGAAATCCCCTCCAAAAATTTATTTTGAGGACGTGAAGAACATTAACATAGCGAAAATATCCTTGTCTGATGTTCAGGTGTCATTTTATTTTACGTAAATTCAAGGATCATTTTATATCTGACACATTTTGCTTATATTGACGTTGATATTTTACGAGCAATCAAACATTCACATCTTCCATCAACATCAAGGGGAAAACAACATGGTGGGAAAAATTTTGATGAATAATTCTCACTGAAAACCGAGATTCTTAACCATATCAAGAAATTTCATCGATTACGTTAAGAATCTCTTGTTTCAGTGAGAAATTGATATGATTTTTCTACAAAAACTTTTCCCCATCAAGTTGTTTTCCCCTTAATTCACATTCACATGCTCATGTCATGCGACTTCTTCTTTAAAATGGCATGTTAAGTAAGTTTTACAGCGTAAAAGGAGAGTTTGAGGCTAGACACTTTGCGATTTATATAATGTAATTGAGGTTGTATCAACAAATTATTGCATGAAATCTAGAAATACCATTAACTCTTAGCATGCCCTAAACAACCAACTTTACTTAAGGCAATTAAATCAAAGTTTCTTCTAATTTGACATAAAAGTTCGCAAAACATGACATTCTAACTCTCTTAGGCTCATAATTGACCTTTCAATTCCTTGTCACATTTGTCATAAGAAATAAACAGTTCTGTTGACATTTTAAACCCAAAAAACATTTTCATCATGACATTTAACATCCCCACCGCAAAGTGTCTATTCCCAAATGAAAATCTTTCTTACCTGCAAAAATACGTGTGTCATTGCCGTTGGATTTCCACCCGCGAACTTCGATAATCTCAATATTGTCAGAATAGCGCGCATGAGGAAAGGTAATGCAAAACAAAGACGTCTTTGCCATGGGGAAGCAGCCGTTAAAGCTTTTTGTAAGCCAAAGATACAGAAGATACAATATGATATAATTGTTAACCATTTTATGAATCCACTCATGCAGAAGACACTCGCTATAACAAACGGTAGTGCGCCTATAAAGAAAAGAAAAGAGTCATTTATGTAGAATAATTCTTCAATCAAATGGAGATGCTTCTTCAAGTCTTTTATTACTGTTGTCTATATGAAGCATCACATAAGTTTATTATCTCTTTATTGTATTGTTATTAAAGCCTTTTGACGGGATTTAAGGGACAAAAGTTAATCATTTTTTTAAAGGATTGAGGTTTTATTAACAAAGTCTTTCAATGCTGGATAATAATAGATGGAAATCTTTTGTATTGCACATCGGTAGATTTTGTTGGACTTCTGGATTGACAGTAAAACTTTATTCTTTATAATCATTTTTAATTTTAACACCATTTTGTGATAAAAAGTGCATGTTGCCTTAACTTGACTCAAAAAACTAGGAATTTGGCACCAAACCGGCTTCATATAGGATTTTTGAGCTTCTTCATGCTCAAACTATCGTCATTTGCCTTTCTTTGACTAAGGATGCGAAACTGAACATTTAAGAATCAATTCAAGAGAGGTTAGATCCTTAGTAAGCAGTATTCATCTAATTACATTTTATAACAACTTCCTAGCTATCATGTTCCAAGGTACATAGTGATTAATTTTACTGCAGTCATTACAATAAATCCTAATTGCCCTTTAAAAAAGATCAAAATTCCTTCGCTTCTATTTACGTAGCCGTTAAAGGTCAAGTGAACAAAAAGGCAAGTCAGGTAAAAATGCCTGCAACACGCATCAGTTTCCAATAACTGCAATAAATCAACTTTTCAATTTTCGCAACCTTAAATTAAAAATACCAAAACGTACATGACTGGAAAATTATATTCTACACGTTTTATTGTCAGTTTAGCAAGGAAGAAAATCTTTCCAAAGTTGCTGTATCAGTTGCAGACGTTTTTATAGAAAATATTTTTTTCATCTGAAAGTTTTACTCTATAAATGTCATGATCAATAATGGAAAGAATGGAAAATACACGAGCTTTGATCCATTCTTTTCTCAATTAGATTAAGGAAAAATTGTACATTTCATTTCACATGATTAGCTTACAAAAGCTTAGGAAACGATTTAAGTATCGTGTAAACATCTGTTAGAATATTGTTTCTTGCAAGGAAATAGTCAGCTCAAAAAAATATGGAATTCACGAAAAAATGCACAGGAAACAAGCATAAAAAAAACAAATCATTTCTTATTAAAACCTCATCCGAAAAATAACATTCTTCTTGCCTTCATCTGGCACTTTCACAAGATTGAAGTCATGGCACTTTATTCTTATTCATTTTAGCATGAAAACTGTCGTTTAAGAGTTTGTTGTTAAGTAGCTCTGCTCAACAAGACGATGAAAATTTATGCTAGGCAATAGCTTCTATTTACAGGAAAGACATTATCTCGCTTCACAGAGTACTTGGAAGGGCTAAAGGTCAGCAGAAGTTCTAATACGATTATTAATTTGATAGGATTCACAAAGATTAGTTTCTCGAAACGTTCATGAGGATGTATTAGACTAAATAGCATAAAGATTGTGAAATCAGAGCAGAATAGAACTTAGGAAATAGAGCAATATAAAGGCGAATATGTCAGTCGGAGGTGTAACAAATTGCTGTTACATATTTATTTAACGGAAAGTCGTTAAATAAATTATTTGAATTAATAACGGAATTTTGAGATTTAAATATTTCTGTCCCAGTAGTAAGCCCCTCTCAATTTGATTTGATCAGTTGACACAACATTTTTGAGACGTGGAGGAAAGGACAATTTATTTAAAGTCCACAAATAAATTTAAATAGAGCAGGAAATAAAGATTGAAGTTATAGATTAAAAGAACTCACTTCGTTTCATTTAAATTTATTTATTTACGGGTTTAAAAACTCCGCATTCCGTCACACGGAGGACAAGGTCTTTATAACCAAGTTGCTGGGTGTCAGACCAAAAGCATAACCTCAAAAATCTTCTATCTCTTCAGAGCTTTATTGCTTGTTTCTATAGTGCCCTAGGCATAATCTATTGCTAGTCGACAAAAATTACGACATTATTCTATCCAAAAAACGGATAAATTTTCCACGAAAAGTCCCTTCCTTCTCTGAATTGCTTCAGCCAACCATAAATTATTTAGAAAAAAATTCTTTTCCTCGTTTTTCCACGTGCCACAAAGGAAAAGGACATAAATAAACATAAATTAGCTACATTCATTGATGTCGAGGTGTATAAAAGAGGATGAGAAAGGCAATTGAGGCGGATTATGGTATATAATCATATAATGAATAGCCACTTGGCTATTACCAAACTGTGAATAAAGATGGCATCGAATGAAGAAAAAAGACGTTTTCTTTAATTCAATTATGAGACATTCTGGAGATTAAAAGATGGGAAAAGTAAAATGATTAACTTACCGAAACTTTGACTCATCCATATTCCGAACATGTCAAGTTGTAAAAGACGATAATAGACTGTTTCGCCACGTTCTAAGTTCATAAACAGGTGATAAACAAAACTAAAGGAAAGAAAGAATATTGAATGAAAGCCAAATGAATAGCATTATTACTATTATTACTTACCTTCCAATCCATGGCGAAACAGAGCCAACGAGGTGACACCATGAAAGAAAACGAAGACTATTATTCCATGGTAAATAAGGTGGAACTGTTGCCAAAATGTATACAATTGGGATTCCTAAAAAGTAATTGAAGTGAGGAAAAAGAAGTAAGTTTAGAATTTGTTTTTAAGAACGCGTTTTTTGCGGTTTTGCAGTAAAATTTTATGGCTGTAGAAGATTTGAGGTTAAAAAGTTTTAATTGGAGATATTGTGAGTATATTTCTGAGATTTAAAGAAGATTTGGCAATTTTCTTTATTATTAAAAATAATTTGATGTTTTTGATGTTTACAGTTGATCCAAATCAGCCTTAGTGACCAACAGAGCGCCATACATAGAGATAATTTTGTGTTTCTATTATCGAAAATTATCCACTTAAGTATGTAAATCATAGCAACAGACAAGAAGTTGTAAATTTAATTCCTCGAATCAATCATGTAATAATTACCAATTAAATTGCAATAAAGTTTGATATTCAATTATTAATCTAATAATCCGCATATAATGACAGATTTTAATTGGTACACATAATTATCACAGTATATGATTTGTCATGTCAGAAATATTTTTGACTATATGAAGAAGAAGTTGTAACTAATGGCACTTTCCTACGAAAAATATAAATTGCCTTAAATCACTGACTGGAATGGTAAAATTACTCATCAATTAAATTAATTAAATTTGATGAGAACTTGAGTAATGAGCTGTACAGAAATGGATTTGGAATTGATGTTTGAATTTAGTGTTTTTACTTATGGCGTGTTTCTAGTTTGACAATTAATAGATTTGATAAAAATTAATCAAATTCAATTAATTAGCTTTTCTCAATAGCAATTTAGAAGGTCTAATAATTAAAATAAAGTTTATTTTAGGGAAATTGATGATTTTTGGTTCAATTTCGATAAAAATAAAAATAACAAGGGGCTTGGCACTAGCTATGATGTCAAATATATGCAACTAAAATTTAAATTTGAAATTTCCGTTATTAAACTATTAAATTAAGTTCAGATCGATTAAGTTTAAAAAAAGCTTCAAATATTCTACCATAAAATGAATTCTTAAAGAACTTTCAAGTCATGCCCAACTCAATATACCTCTCTAAATCTTAAAAAAATGTTTTTATGATATTTATGAAGTCACATAACAGTCTTAAGTTGGGTCAAATCCTTCTTCTTGAAACAATGTTTTTTAAAAGAAATCTCCCAAAAGCTAACGATAATTTGTGGATTTACAGTTGAATATTAAGTTCCGAAAAATTCAATTAAACTTTATGAATAAATTCTCGCAGAAATATCCTTTTAAAATCTCCCTTACGTGACTACTTGAAAATGTTTAAGATTTTATGTAAAAGTTATTTCTAGAAAACACTGTACAAATATGAGAAGTATAGACTTTAAGTCTACATAAACATTTTTAAGATTCTTAAAAAAATAGAAGAAAATTGTTCAAAGTTTACTTAAAGCATTACAAATTTTGTACTAAGATTTAAAATTTTTCATCATAATATTTTTGTTAAAATCATAAAGGAAAATGTAAAAAGTAAGTTGACATTAAAAAAAGTTTCAAATCCTACACCATTCCAACTCATAGCAAACATAGCATGTGGATTGTTGTCATAGCAAATTTACATGTTTGCATTTCATTAAACGATAAACCTGGATAAACCTCTTTTGCTGCTGTGGCATATTTTTTCAATTTAAGGGCATTAGATTGAGTAGAATGAGGAGTAAATTGAAACTGAATTATGGTATCATATTCAGTTTGAGAGAATATCAAAATGGAATAGCTTTGTAAACACCATGAAAATTTTTATCGAGTTGTAAACTTCCCCTCAAACTGCTTAAGGAGATGCTGCTTCTTTATGCCAATTAAGGGAAATTTATCATTTAAATTGTTAAACTTGATTTATGCTGAAAATTATTCTTAAGATTTTTTTTCGCTTATTTTGAATATTTCTACAATTCAAATTGATTAATTAAAATGAAAAATTATATTGCTACTGGTAATTGGCGCGTTACTTAAGACGTAAAACATTCTATTAAAAAAACTAAGTCCAAGAAAAATTCTAAGGTCATCATAATAGATAGGCTCTCCAAAGTACAGACTAACAACGAATATTACATCAGATAATCATTAAAATAAACAAATTCAAAGGAAGGAACAACAAAAATAAAATTTAAAGCAATAAAACTGCGGAACTGATTTAAAATGGTAAATTAATACTGCTTTTTATTACTTTCATCATTACTGTAGAGCATGAAAAAGGATCTAACAAGAAGTGGATGAATGTAAAATGGATTATAATGAAAAGATTCCTTCTTCATGCTCCTTGAATTCATTTTTCCTTTTTACTTGAAATGAAGCTTTTATGATGAAAATGGCAAAGACGGAAGAAGAAGAATGAAATGGAAAAGAATTTTAACAATATTGAATTGTTTGAGAAAAATTCATTAAAAAGTTTTCTCTTAGTTTTGCATGACAACAATGATACTCTCTGATGAGTGCTCGTCCAACAAGCAAACTAGCAAGATTTAATGGATTATTGTGTATTAAAAATAAAATTTTATGATTTTATTTCTCCCTTGTCAGAAAGAAGCTAAATTCAGAGATTCTTAAAGCACTGTTCAATCAAATTAGTCTCCTTTTCATGAAAATATGTGCTCAAGTGGTGAAGCTTTTTGCGTTGCGTAAAGCAGATTAGCCTTGAGAATGAAAACAGCTTTATGTGCTGTGCATAAAGTTGTTCTTTTGATATCTTGTAATTTGGTAGCAGATGCAATATAAATATGATATTAAAAATTCTTTTTGCACAGAATGACCTAACGAGTTTTGGTATTAAGAAGATTTGAGTAACAACAAACATTTTTTTAATATCAAAATTGCTTAGTTTTCCAGGAAATGTTCATAGTTTTTAGTCAAATGACAAATTTTACCGCAAATGCGAAGTTATTAGGTCAAGAACTCACTTTGCAAACATCAAGAACATAAATAATACTTGACTTGAAATTAAATTACATTTTAAAAGAGCAATTACTTAACTAAGTACTACTTAATAACTTGTGGAACGTTCATTTCTCATTTATGATACTAAAAGTAGGAAAAGTCTATTTACTGTTCTGCTTTAAAATTAAATTCCGAAGATGTGGACTTTTGAATGAAAAATTGACTGTGGAATTTAAAATTATTGAGTTTTAGTTCCAATATTTTGAAGCTAATTGAAAATGGGTTTGTTTAGTGGCATTAAAGTGATAAATAATTAAAAGTTTTAATTTTTTTCTGAATTGTTAAACAAAATTGAATATAAAATTGACTTAGTAGTCTCAAAAGAGCTCACTGATAAGGAAGTATTTACTCTTTGCCATTTAGAAAGCAATAAAATCGATCTAATAATTAAATTAAAGTTTTATTGATGTTTGAAGCAAGTTTGAAGCTTAAATTGTAAATTCGTACTAAATAAATCAAAACAATTCAGAGGGGCATGCAACTTTCTTAAATGCATTGAATCAAAATCAGTTTTACATTCTGAAAACTTTTAACTTTATTTGACTAGTTTTCCAATTATCATAAAATCTTTACATCTTATTTGTTCCAAGATTTCGCTGAGTTTGTTTTCCCCATCCAAAGTCAACAAAAAAAAAAAAAACAACCGCAAAGAAAACAAAAATTTAAAGAATCTTTGAACTAAACATTTCCGCTCCTGTTGTAAAAGCTTCGTTCCTCATTGCGGAATGTTATTTATGCCATTTATCGGTTGAATGGAATCAATTTGAAAGTTCATGCTTTTTTTGTTATGAAGAATTTCCAGCTTTATAAAGTTGAAAAAAATTTAAATCATCTTCAAGCAATGGACATGAAGAAGACTTTGTCATCAACTCAAAGCAATAAAGCGAATTTTAATTATTTTAAATGAAATTTTCTATTTTTATCTCAATAATTATCTTGAATGTAGCCCTCTAAAAATTTCAAGCACAAAAGGCGAATTGAAATCATTTCGAGTACCTTTTCCAAATAATAAATTGATTTCCCAACAAAAGCTATAATCTTAATCCCCTTTATAGCTTCTCCATAGCAATTTCAAGGTTTTGATGAAGTTTTTTTTGAAGAAATTCTTTTGTTTTAGGAGAAAATTAAGAGGGAAAATAGCATGACGAGGAAACGTTTGATTAGAAATTCTCATCGATTTACCGAAAAAATGTTGTTTAAAAATGGCGAGAAATTCATCATTTCGAAGAAAACCGATTGAGCATCAGTTTCCATCACAAAATTTTCCCCATCATGTTGTTTCCCCCTTAATTCGAAACGAAAAGAGAATGAAAAAAAAAAATTATCTGTAGTGATTAAGGAAGAATGACTTTTCATGTCCTTGAAACTTATCACCAACGAAAAAAAAAATTTTATCTCACATCGAAATGATGATATCACCCGCAATTCCAAAGAGAATTTACCTTCATCAATAAAGAATAAGGAAAATGTCAATTAAAGCAATAGTTTTTCCCGTTCAGGATATGTGACTCACAGCAGATGATGCTCTCAGACGATGGCAAATAAAAAATTCAACCGTAATTATTTTCTTAGCCAATGATTTATTTTTAGGTTTTTTGTTGGGCTGACGTAAAGCTTGTCGCAATTTGTAATAAAAATAAAACTGCCAGTCTATTTAATGATACTCATGAGACGTTATGTTTATGTCTCATATATGTGCTTTATGCAACACAAATATTGATTGTAAATGACGAATTGTTTTGGAAATGTGAAATAACAATGCGGAAAAGCTGAAATATTTTTTTTTTCTTTCCTTATGTTGTTTTTTTTGTGTTGGCCTCTAAATTTGAATTAATGCTCCGAAAAATATTATTTTTTTTGCTTGTGGTTTGCCTTTTTGACGTTCAAATGTGTTGTGCTGGGGTGCTTAAACTTTTTTTTTCGGGGTGGATTAGGCTTTTGGAAATTGGTTAAAGGCTGAATTTTTGAACTAATCTTTCTGGGTGGTTCCAGTTTCATGCAAGGCTGTGGAACTGAAGAATTACATTTTGATCATTTTTGATCAATTTTGATCATTTTTGATCATTTTTTGATCAT